GACTACTTTCCTTGAAGAGATCCGCTACCCGACTATTTTCGGCTGCCTGGCACCGCCTCTGGCCGCCCTGCTGCGTAGGCGCGACGGGGCCATCAGAGTTGGGCCTTTGTCGTCGAGCCTGCCGTGTAGAGAGGGACAGGGTATTCTCATCAACGGCCGTTTAGAACAACTTGAACGCGGACGTAATGATGCCAGTTGCTTAAACCTTGTAACGTCGTCGACGGCAGATAGGCCGGAAGACCGTGCCGTGCTGAGAGGTCTCAATGCCTCCTTCGGAAGTGACCTGTGTTTCCTGATCAACACGGATGGATCGTACCGGAGCACACCGGAGAACACGAGAGAGCTACTCATCTCCTATCGCCAGGACACAGCGTTCGTCAACGAAGCACTGTACGGCGTCATCGGGGTCTATGAGGTCGGGACTTCCCCTTTCAACGACCGAGGTGAGCTGACGGCTGCGTACTACCGCTTGGGAGGGCAGAACACTGTGTCTACAGTGGGGCTTGAACAGTCCACACTAGTGGACAAGCGTAGAGAATCCTTTATCACCATCCCTAGTAACCCAGTTCTTGATATTAACACAGGCGAGGAAGAAACCACTCAGCTCTACACGCTGTCTGTAGCAACCACAACCAAGTATTATCAATATTTACCCAACAGTGACACTTTAGCCGCACCAGTTGTCCGGAGCGGCACGAGCGGACCCGAGAGCGATATTCTCTTCTACGTGAACAGCTTCAGCAGCGAAATCATCACTCTGCGCAAGCGGTCGTTTGCCGAGGTGTGGGCAATGCTGGGCGGCGCCATATCCGGCGCGCTCGTCATTGTCACGTGGTTTTTCATGGAAGAAGTGGTCGAGCTACCGGATGGTAGCGGCGCAACTGAGAAAGTGCAAGTGTTTCGTTACAGGTGGTTCACCAGCAGCAAGGAGGAAGCGGTTGCTTTCATCAAGAAGTTTGCCCCTTCCGGAGGGCACAATGGCACGTATGGCGGACAAAACCTTGAGATGAACGCGAAGAGGGGAGGGTCTTCCTAATGTTTAAATGACGGTAATGCATGCTGTAAACGTGCTCGTAGCTAGTCACTCACCAACTGCTAGATGTTTTGTCAACTGTGCCCGGCTCTGTGAGGGCTCCTATTAGGCCCTAGCTCCTATGGACGCGTACCAGTGTATAACTGAAAGGCACATGAATATTGTAGTTCACGATCCGTCTTACTTCAAGTATAAATTACATTCATGTACCGAGTGCCCCCAGTCATTATATTCTCCACGTCAGAGCCGATGGTTACGTTATGGCAATATGCCTATACATGTACTTGCGGATACAGTTTAGTCCACTACGCCTCCTCTCTTCTCTGAACAATTTTTTAGAAATGCACTGAAATTGCAATGATGCCACTCTTTAGTATCACTTTTAAAACGGTTTACGTACAGCCAGTAATTGGGTTGAGGCACATGTAAATGTACATGATTGTGTATGTTGCAGCTAACTCAATGAGAACTGTTCAGTAGGCCTGCTCTTGCCCTCAACACTGCAAATTCACAGGGCACTAACAGCCTTGCCATTTCGCCAAATTGCCATCATTAAACTGCAGTAATAGTTGTAGGTGCTCAATAGCATTTTTACAATGGCTGCATGCTCAACCTGTGGCCAATAGCCACTCACGCATTGACTGCCCAACCTTAGGCATATGACTTGTACTGCTCCATACATGCTGCAGGCGTACTTGCTCTATGTAGAATGAGTTAATATTTTAAAAAGGTATCATGCAAATGCACAATCTGGAGACAGAACTGTTTCGTCCTTTGTGTGTGTATAGTGTGTAATACAGTTTAGTGTGTATAGTGTGTATAGTGTGTATATGTGTAGATTATAACAAGGGACTGACTGTATATTATCTCTCGATATACACGAGGTCCCTTTGCAGGCGCGTAGGCAGGGGGGGGGGGTGCTTTGGGTGCCAAAGCACCCCCTCAAAAATTTTGACCATGGGCATGGGCCATGGGTCTGGCTTGGCATGCATTGTATGATCAAACAACCGCGACTGCCCTCAGCCCAGACTGGGTGCCTGCTACGTAGATCTGCGAGTACTGCATTGTACTACACGTGCTTGCACTTTTCCGTTGCAGTCAGTGTGCAAGTATTAGTTACTAGTACTCCATGAACAAAGACAAGTGGTCTCAAATTCCTAAAATGCACTGCAAGTTGTGGCGCATGTTGCTGCGAAGGTAGAAGGTCTGAAAACACCAACAAAATCAGCGAAGCGCTTGCCAAGGAAAGAAGGTGCGGAACTGCTTACCCTACCCCGCTGGAAGGTCGTTACAGTGTACTTGAAAAATGCTAGCTTGCCTTCATCCCCTGCCACCTGGAGGCATGGATCGCTTGAAAACGAAGTTTCTTGACCTGAATTTGAACGCGCGTCTTCTTCAGCGTATTGTTGAGTGCTGAAGGGTCAGACCGTCTGCCTCAAACCCTGATGAAGACGTCGACCTTAGCTGCAAGTGCAGCGAAGCGGGAGGCCACAAACTAAAGCTTGGTCCGTCGACAATGCTCTGCCTCAATTTCTAGCTGATTTCTGTGCCCCTCGAGTGGACAAAATAAATTCGAAAAATCGCTCTGGGAAGCAACAAATTTTTTAATGACGCGGAGGAAGTAGATTCTTGGAATGGCAAGCTGGAGACATTCATAATACATAAATAATTCAAGGTGTACACCGCACTAGCATGCATACAATATGCATACATGTACAAGATTCCTCAAAAGAACGTTTTTGGAAGAAAATTATGGGCACCCCCCCTTGACCATGATCCTGGCTACGCCCCTGCTTTGTTATAATAATTATAGTTATAATTTCTTTTGAAGTATGAAAAAGAGGTTGGTGTTATATCTCTTCATATTCACCGTGTGTGGACTCCTAATGGCTTGTTCCTCGCCGACAAATACAGCCAATTTCCATTAGTATTGTATATGTAGATATACACGGAAAGTTGGGTGTGGTCCTCGAAAGAGTGCTCAATGCACCGGGGTGCAGAGCTTCATACAAAAAAGAATAGAATGGGATACGGAGCTTAGGTTGGCTGTGACTCGGAGTTTCACGCCTGTGGCGATCATCATTGAAATCATTGCTGTCTGATGATCGCCACAGGCGTGAAACTCTGAGTTACAGCCAACCCAAGCTCCGTATCCCATTCCATTCTTTTTTTATGTGTATATACACCACTAAGAGGGGCCATGGCGCCTATGACTGTGGGTGCATATGGAGTGAGGTATAGTTATGAGCCCATTGTAGGTGCTTGCAGTCTGCATGACACATTCTCACCAGTATGCATGCCTACCATACTAATACCTTCCATGCCTTCTTATTCTCTCCATCGATCGTCTCTCACTAAACTCATTTTGACATTAGTACTGAAAACTGTGGAATGGACCTGTTGCTGGTTGAAATAAGAGCAGCGATCATGTACAAAACTGTAATGATGAGTCGCGTGAGTTTACAAATCCGCAGAAAATGTTGACTGGTCTCTAGCTCTGTTTGGGCGACCACTGCACCTACGCGCATACTTGAGTGGCTCGATCGGGTTTCGTTGGACAGTAGTCACAGTACTGTACCTGACTTGGTTTGACAGCAGCATGACACAAGGTGGAGGACACCGTGTTCGGAAACAGTGACCTTACTACAACCATCCACGGTTGGTAGAGCCCCGGTCTGTTAGGACCACCTGAACCATATGGGTGTTGAACCCGGTTCTGACCCTCATTATGCTAGGGGAGTTTTAGACTTCTCCTTACGTCAGTCGTGTATTCTTTGATCGCTCCTGGATGTCGTCCTGATAGTCATGTAGCTACTTTAACCTGAATTGCTTTTCTCAAATTTTCTTTTCTTCCAACGTCTGCCCATGGCGTCCCTCTCTCAGCTCGTCAGCTGTCAACAGTCACTGTCACCACCATGAGACCGTCGTGAGAAGGTGCTCTCTGTAGACGAGGTTGGTGATGTCCCGACGCGGCCATGGGTAGGTCTTCACCAGTTACCTAGTGGAGGTAACCAACGTGTAGCCGGGGTGTTCCGACGTGGTGAAGGCCTACCCATGGCCACGTCGGGACATCACCAACCTCGTCTACAGAGAGCACCTTCTCACGACGGTCTCATGGTGGTGACAGTGACTGTTGACAGCTGACGAGCTGAGAGAGGGACGCCATGGGCAGACGTTGGAAGAAAAGAAAATTTGAGAAAAGCAATTCAGGTTAAAGTAGCTACATGACTATCAGGACGACATCCAGGAGCGATCAAAGAATACACGACTGACGTAAGGAGAAGTCTAAAACTCCCCTAGCATAATGAGGGTCGGAACCGGGTTCAACACCCATAATCATGGTTCAGGTGGTCCCAACGGACCGGGGCTCTGCCAACCGTGGATGGTTGTAGTACGGTCACTGTTTCCGAACACCGTGTCCTCCACCTTGTGTCATGCTGTCAATCTAACGACATCTACATGATTGTATCGGTACTGACGGTAGATCCTCAATGACCTCATGCACCCTCCGTTTACCATGGTTTACATGGTCTATCTAGATAGACCATGTAAATATCTGCATCACAACTTCAAGTCAGTCACCAGTGCCCCGGTGGTCACCACTGGTCACTACGTAACCATGATAACGTCGTTGTAGATCTACCTCACCCTGTTTTACCCTTCATGTACGGTATTGTAGATAGATCTACCAAGTCCATGATGTAGATGTACCTGATGTACGGTCCGCTCAATAATCACTGACTGGTAGATCTACATGATTGTACATTGATCACCGGTATGTCATGTAGATCTACCAGTGATCTACCCACCCAGACTTCGTCGACAGACTCGGTGGACCATGGCGGACGCGACGGCGCGACACTACGGGTCATTCATCTGTCACTTGGCACTTGTGCTAGTGCCACATCGGGTACTTTTTCTCCAGTCATTTTCCGGCTGATCGTGGAGAGGCTTTGGCCTTTATTCCGATTCCAGCTTGTGCAGTGTGTGCTTGCAGAGGGCGAATTTCTCGATGCTCGGAATGAAACGGTTAGCTACAATGGAAGGACATGGCGATCGAAACGCGATATATTGGAGTGCCGCACAGCCGTTGTGGCCAGTCTGTGAAGCTTTCCTTGGCTGTTGCACGCTCGTAACCTCAAAGTGGAAATTTGGCCAGCCGTTTCGAAAATGGGTGCTTCAAACTTAGCTCTATTCCTAACCTGTTTGCTAGTGGTTGGTACGGCTACTGGGCAAGCAGAAGAAAGCAGCTTAGAAGCTGATGTGGGCCTAGATGATTCTCTTGGCGAACAGTCTGCGAGCGTACTTACAGAAAATAGCAACACTGAGGAGCAAGGCGATGATTCACTGCTAGCAGCATTGTCGAGTCAGGATACGAACGAAGCTCGCAAAGGTAGCATCCGCAAACACAACTGGCTGTGGAAGGCTACTTACAACCGGTTTTCAAGTCGTGGACGAAAAGCGACTGTCGGTGGCGGTCGGAAGCTCAGAGGTCGGAAGGGTGGTCGCAAGTCATCTGCGATAAAAGGTAAAAGAGAAGATTTTAATCGCATTTCACCGCCCTTCAGCCGTAGAAAGTCTAGTACTAGTAGTAGTACTAGTCCCCCTTGAGGATTGATTCTACTCGAGTTTCGGCATCCAGCTCCACCCCAGCTTTCACTTATCGTAGTAGCAATGCGGTACGAAACACGCACTCCAGCTCTTCAAGTTCAAGCTCACCCTGTTAAGCTGCCGTTGTCTTTTATGCCAGAGAAAAGAGCGTTCGAGCAACATGACATTGTGATCATTGCCCCCCCCCCCCAACCCCTCTTATTTTCATTCCATTATCACATTCGCTTCCATGTAATTGGGCGTATATCCCGTGTGTAATTCCGAATTCAAAATGAATGAAGAAATACACACATACATACAATGTCATACTATTACTAATAGAAAAGAAAAGGACCAAGGAACTACAAGTTACGCTATAATGTCCACTAACACCACCAGTTACTAAGCAATCTGCAGTGATGTTAGTGGACATTATAGCGTAACTTGTAGTCCCTTGGTCCTTTTTCTTTTCTATAAATTCATCCTTGGCTCTCCAACCCAGTCCACACATACATGTACATGTACATACATACATACTTACCCAATGCTGTAGACAGCAAGCTGTTTCGGCCATAACGGTCTCAGCAGTACATACATAACAGTTACATACATACATACATACATACATACATACATACATACATACATACATGTACATACATGTACATACATACATACATACATACATACATACATACTCAATCTGCGGACAGAACTGTTTCGTCCTTTGTGGACTCGTCAGCGCAGCACAGAGGAAATGAGGCCGAACCTGATAGCAATGGAAATAAAAATTTCCAATCAGGCCCGAACGTACCTTGCCAGAGTGCTCAAACTGACAAGTCAGTGAGCTCTGCATAACGCAAACAGCAAAGGCACTACCCCACGCAAGAGTGCTCAACTGCTACAAGAGCAGGAGCGAAATACTCAATCTGCGGACAGAACTGTTTCGTCCTTTGTGGACTCGTCAGCGCAGCACAGAGGAAATGAGGCCGAACCTGATAGCAATGGAAATAAAAATTTCCAATCAGGCCCGAACGTACCTTGCCAGAGTGCTCAAACTGACAAGTCAGTGAGCTCTGCATAACGCAAACAGCAAAGGCACTACCCCACGCAAGAGTGCTCAACTGCTACAAGAGCAGGAGCGAAATACTCAATCTGCGGACAGAACTGTTTCGTCCTTTGTGGACTCGTCAGCGCAGCACAGAGGAAATGAGGCCGAACCTGATAGCAATGGAAATAAAAATTTCCAATCAGGCCCGAACGTACCTTGCCAGAGTGCTCAAACTGACAAGTCAGTGAGCTCTGCATAACGCAAACAGCAAAGGCACTACCCCACGCAAGAGTGCTCAACTGCTACAAGAGCAGGAGCGAAATACTCAATCTGCGGACAGAACTGTTTCGTCCTTTGTGGACTCGTCAGCGCAGCACAGAGGAAATGAGGCCGAACCTGATAGCAATGGAAATAAAAATTTCCAATCAGGCCCGAACGTACCTTGCCAGAGTGCTCAAACTGACAAGTCAGTGAGCTCTGCATAACGCAAACAGCAAAGGCACTACCCCACGCAAGAGTGCTCAACTGCTACAAGAGCAGGAGCGAAATACTCAATCTGCGGACAGAACTGTTTCGTCCTTTGTGGACTCGTCAGCGCAGCACAGAGGAAATGAGGCCGAACCTGATAGCAATGGAAATAAAAATTTCCAATCAGGCCCGAACGTACCTTGCCAGAGTGCTCAAACTGACAAGTCAGTGAGCTCTGCATAACGCAAACAGCAAAGGCACTACCCCACGCAAGAGTGCTCAACTGCTACAAGAGCAGGAGCGAAATACTCAATCTGCGGACAGAACTGTTTCGTCCTTTGTGGACTCGTCAGCGCAGCACAGAGGAAATGAGGCCGAACCTGATAGCAATGGAAATAAAAATTTCCAATCAGGCCCGAACGTACCTTGCCAGAGTGCTCAAACTGACAAGTCAGTGAGCTCTGCATAACGCAAACAGCAAAGGCACTACCCCACGCAAGACATACATACATACATACATACATACATACATACATACAAACATACATACATACACACAAAAGGCACAATGGAGGTTTACAGGGTTGTCGCAACTCGGAGTTTCTTAGTCGCCTGATGATTGCATTGAGCAAGAAACTCCGAGTTGCGACAACCCTGTAAACCTCCATTGTGCCTTTTGTGTACAAACATACATACATGTACATACATACATACATACAAACATACATACAACATGTCATGTACATGTACATACATACATACATGTACATACATACATACATGTACATACATACATACATGTACATGTACATCCATATACTTGTACGTGTACATCCTCATGCTGTTCTGGTTGTTGTCTGTTTTCTCTCTGGATGGCTCCAGGCAAGTACCGCATTGTCAAGTTCACACGTGGCCAGTGCTCGGTGACATGCGGTTCCGGCTTCCGTTCCGACACCGTGCTCTTGCGATGCAGGAAGAGAGGAAATTGCTTGCAGGACACAATTCAGAGAAGAACTAGACGCCGACCATGCCGGCAACCTGCCTGCCCATTTTCAGGTAAATATGGAGCATAGGGAGAGAGGGGAGGCAGGGAGTGGGGAAGGGAGAGAGAGAGAGAGAGAGAGAGAGAGAGGGGGGGGGGGGAGAGGGAGAGGTAAGGGAGAGGGAGGGAGGGAGAGAGTGGAAGCTCCACATCAAGTTTGTTGATTAGCATCAAGCCTTATCTCACTAACATAATTGCCTGTGCGCGCGCGCGCGCGCGCGTGTGTGTGTGTGTGTGTGTGTGTGTGTGTGTGTGTGTGTTGTGCTTGTGAGTTCGCCTCACAACTCATGTGCGTTGTCCAATCCCAATGCTCTCTTGCAGATCGTTATGTGCTGACATCGTACATGCTGGGAGAATGCAGTGTTACCTGTGGAACGGGAGTCATGGTTGAAGCGCGTCTCTACAAATGTAGCAAGAAGTCTGTATGCAAGAAGTCAGAGTATACCAAGAACTCAACCTTGAAATGCACTCGACCAAAATGCCCACCAGATGGTAAGGAATCGGGCTAAAGGACCAAACTAGCTTCTGACTTTTTCCATGTCCCATTTCGCGAAATTTCCACGAGTTCTTTCATTCCATCATTGCCTTCTCGTCAGGTGCATTCCATCATTGCCTTCTCGTCAGGTGCGCAGACAGAACTAAAGCTACCTGTAGTCGGACTGAAGCTGGTTTATTTATTTAGTCCCAGACTTAACTGGTGTTCTCTCATGTTCTGTGGACCTAGAAGAAAGTTTGTGTAGCAGATGCTACCAGTAATCTAAGGTTACGGGCACTCTTACAAAGGTGTTGCTATTGCTGTGGACCAAATATTAGTCAAACTCTCGTATGTTGAGCCAATATAATCATGCACAAGAATAAGCTAGGATAAAATGTTTCGAGTTATGACGAACTGTCCACGGAAGTTGAGTGTCTCGGTGCTCCATGTAAGTTTTGTGCCTTGTTGTCGCACTCGCTGACTGCATATGGTCTGGTTACTTTGGCGGACTGTGTATCATAACTCGTAACATGGTGTCCTTCTTCTTGTCTGTAACCCCTGGGAAGATGCAGCTCTTAAAGTACTGGGAGGTCCTGAATTCTTGATCCTTGAGGATGGTGGCGTTCCTACGGATGCGTAAAACTCAGTCTAATTGAGTATAGCACGAACCGTGACATTTTATTTCCATTCATTTTTTAAAATTCCGTGAATGGGCCCAGTTGTACTGAAAGTGATTAATTTTGGTAGTCAAGAGAATGCATTAGCAGTGAAGAAAAAAGAACGAGAGGGAGAGGGAGTGAACATGAGGAAAAGAACAAGTGTTAGTGGAATGTGGCCGAGGCATGATTTATACCCTTGACTTTTCTGATCACAGTCATGAAGATTTAAAAATTAGCAAAGCATTTATGCGTTGATGGCGTCATGCCCAGCAAATGTTAATGTAACCTTTTGACTCAGCTGATGTTCATTGTAGGAAGGCATGCGCAGTATTTTGCAATTCAAATCACTGTGAGAAACTTGAAGTTCGAACTCACCATTATCCCTTTTTCCACTTTGTTGCCTGTTCTCCGCAGCCAAGTATTCGGTTGCCGAGAAGCGAGTAGGCGAATGCAGTCGTACGTGTGGTGCTGGTGTCAAGGTGATCAAGGTGACTGTTGCCTGTGTAGGACAGGACTGCTGGAAGCCGAGGCGCGTGCGAACGTACGTTCGGTCTTGCCGCTTGAGGCCTTGTCCTGGTAAGAAAGATTGCTTAAATGTCAAAATGTGTACCTGCTACTATACGAAGTACGTCTACGTGCTACTGTAGAACCGGGAATTTTCGGTGTTAAAATATTTTCGGTATATCCCAAAATCAACGGTTTGGTAGCGCGGATATTTCGGTAAACCAGTTTTCCAGATCAAAGAACGCATTTTTCACACTGTACCATGGCTTTTTGAATTTTAGGCCGAGTTTTACTTTAGGCGAAAATTACCTTTACCGAAGTTTCTGGGTTTCTCCGGTTTCTAAGTACTATAAATGTTCCCGGGGTACTGGAAGTCTACAAAATTTGCCGTGTTTAAATTCCGGCTTCCCTGGGCTAAAACGGATATCGGCCACATTGAAATTTCAGCCAGTACTGCTGCCTGTATACACTGTCACCCTGACACTTGCAAAACAAAATTTCGACCGCAGCAAATTTTAGACCCAAAATGCCCAAGCTGACAATAGCCGGAAATATCTATTCGCCGACTATTTGTGGACTTACAGTACATGGGCTGATAGCGTATACCACATGTGATGACACCTCACCACTCCAGGCTCCAGCTATATGCTGTACTTCAAGTATTTAGCACAACCTCCTTTATTTGGGCACCTCGGGGTCCAAAGGGTCCTGTACCTTGAAATCACCTGTCATTCTGTTTTCTCCCTCACAGTATCGGAGTGGCAGAGGTTTGGCAAGTACAGTGAATGCTCAAGCAGCTGCGGACGAGGTGTTCAGAGTCGGCAGAGGGCATGCAGCACTGGCAATGCCTCTGAGTGTTCTGGAGGGACCAGGACTGCACTGCGCTGGAGATTCTGTCGCAGTACGCCATGCAGAGGTACGCTTAAAGGCAGATTTTGGTTAGATCTTTCCTCAGTGCATTGAAACTAGATGAACAGCTATGTTAGGACATCAACAATATGCTTTGAATTCTTGAATATTTCACCCTCTGCATCTTTCTGAGATGTGTGTATCTGTGTGTATGTTGTGTGTGTGTGTGTGTGTGTGTGTGTGTGTGTGTATGTGTGTGTGTGTGAATGCGTGTGTGTGTGTATGCGTGTGTGTGTGTGTATATGGGGGGGGGGGGTGTACAGTGCTCACTACACTCCGAAAGCAATGACAGCAAAGAGAATAAATTTAAGCCGTGTGCTTTGTAAAAATTTGTGGTCTTCATTGCAGAACTTCGACTATCCACATCATGGACTGCCTGGTCTGATTGCACGGCTCAGTGTGGCTATGGTGTGCAGTCACGGACTCGCTTCAAGCAGCGCGACTGCAACCTATTCCGCTCTCTCAGGCACACATACGGCCGACGAAATGTCTTTGTTCGGCCACAGCCACTTGTCAACATGAGATGGTGCTCAAAACTAGCACCGTGCAATACTACAGTGTCTACATCTCCGACGGCTGGTGAAGACTCCACGGCAAGTCCACTGGAGCAACAGACTACCACGGGAAGTCCACTGGAGCAACAGACTACCATGGGAAGTACAGCAATGACTACGGACATAGCGTTCACCACCAAAGCCACCACTACGCCACTACCTCCGACACCAACACCGACACTGAAACCGACACCAGAGGCTGCAAAGACGACCGGTGCTGAGATAGTGACGACGCTTCCTGAGGAGCCCGAAACACATGTGATCACGAAGCCTACAGTGTCAACAAGCTCAGATGAGACACTGGGTGAAGCAGGTGATATCCTAGTGACGGGTGAAGAGCCTGAAATAATCTTGCAGCCAGGGGACGGCCAAGAAGCGGTGGCCATCACTGAAGAAGAGGGCGAAGCGTACCAACTAGAAGACGAGCTTGCCGATGATGAGCCATTAGTGGCCAGTAGCACTGGGTCTACGGATAACAAACCCAGTGAAACGAATCTACCTGCTGTCAATGATCTGACCGATGAAGAGATATTAGAGGATGCCCAAAGAGAAGACCAAGTCCGGATAAAAACAGCAAGCGAGACTGAGGCTCCTGCAAACCTCAGTATATGGAACAGAATTTTGAATTCTCCTCCATCGAAAGATGGTGTTTCACTAGCCCAGCATGAAACCGAAAGTCAAGCAAAGTCAGATGGGCCTAGTTCCCGTAATCCCGCTTTGGCTATGGAGCCATTGCAGACCCAACCAGCAACAACAGAACAAAGTCACTCTGGGAACAACGGACGGGGAAATTCAGCTGTGAGGCAGTTTGAGCAGCATTCAGGCGACACAGCAGCTCATGGCAAGGCTGGAAAGACGAACAGGAGGGAGAGCAAGCCTAGTGATGCGGCAATGGTGGACGGCAACATGCCTCGTCATCAGTTTGTACGCGAGCAGACTGCCGTGCAAGATATCCCGAAGAGTGCAGAGGACTCCTCGTTCGGTGGCAATGATGAAAGCGACGAGGCAGTGAACGCTGATGAAGAGGAGAGTTTGGAAGAACTGCTACAAGACCTCTCTATGGAGAACGCCTTCAAGTAACTAACGCCTTCAAGTAAAACAGTGATAAGATATTTTTCTTTTACGTTTTCATTTCACATCGCTCTCCCATGTTCGTTTTAAGAGAGATTTCGTGCAAAATATGTTGGTAACGTTCACAGAAGGTTTCTCTGATAAGAATGTCCTATAGGAACACATGATCAACCTGAGATTCAGTAATCGATCGGTTCATGTAGTTTCACAGTGAGCAGTGAGTTTCACAAGTTCAAAGATATCCTTCTCCCAAACCCATGATGTGCAGCTTGTATGTTCACTCTTCGTTTCTAATGCTTATCACTTTTCATCCGTGTGTGCATTATAAGTATCTTATTTCAATCAATTGGTAGGTAGTTTGTCCATGAGAGATGTTGCAGGGATAACATCCTTTCAAGAGCAATCACGGCTCAATAGATGACTTGCACAAAGATTGTCTGGGTTCGAGACGGGGCATGCAAGTGGACCTTCTGACTCTGACTTCCCCACCTTTTGAGTTCGTGACTTTCGAACTATGTTAGTGTCGCTTTTTACCTGACGAACACTGAGCTAGTTTTCAAGTTTGGCTAGAGAGTAGAGTTGTTTTGATTCGACTTGTATCGTCATGCCGAAGCGCTGCTGCGCTCCTGAATGAACGAGCAGACGAGAGATGGAACTGAGGCTCCCGTTCCATACGTTCCTTTCCGAGCCGGCCAGGCGGGAGGCAGAAAAATGAGGGAATATTATTTTAGTAACATTGGTGTAGGCTGCAACAAGCACGTCGTGGTCCTGAAGTGTGACTACTTAAGTCTTTCCCGCAGTGGAAGCGAAGTCAAGCACAACGAAAGTTTGTGGACGTCTGAGAAAGAACTCGATTCCCTTTCAATCGGCTGCACTAGCTCCAGATCGACCCTCTCCTGAGGACAGACTGCGGAGAGGCCAGGAACCTGCCGAGTGACGAGTGGAAGCCTAAACCACGAAAATGAAGGGTGGAAGGACTGAGTATGAGAGCCAGATGGCCTTTAGTAGTACTTGAAGTAGTATCTGAGTTGAAGGAGAGAACAAGTGTGCTGGAGAAACGCTGCGAAGTCCTCAGGCCTGATGTGTACTAGCTACTGTTGAAGTCTCACTTGTTCCGATATGAACATTATTTTCATCAGCCCTTACTCTGAGCAGCTGTATCTAGACTGGGATCTAGGACAGAGACATAGCATTGTAAACCTTACTGAAGCCATATGTATCCGATGCCTGGCTCTAGTGAGAAAGCAGTTTGGCGCAGGCTCGCAAACTATGATGAATCAGGGAGTGGTGGAAAGTCACATTATACCTCTTCATGATTAGCTGGTAATGACGACGATGCGGCTTCGGCTGGGTCTCATGGGAAAGTAACTTGCATACCTGTTTAGTTGCAACGAGGCAATGGTACCCCATGTACTGAAGACATGATTGAACTACATTTCATCTCCTCCTGGGAGAATGTGGAACAAATAATGCCAGAGTGTGTCTGATACACATCACAGTCTGCTGAGTATGTTCATTATTGTGGACGTAACATAACTGCGCTGTGAGGTACCTTCTGCGTTGGACCTACAGTTGAGCCACTACTCTTCTTACAAATTCCATACAACGGTGAAAGGATTTGTTGGAGCATCATCAAACAGTGCATTCGCCTTCATCATACACTGGCTCCGTTGCCTACAGTAATTCACATCTTGACGGGTGCGCTGGGACGATACGGAAGGAGCGGCAACATTGGAGTGCTCATGATGCTGGTTAGCGGAGACGGATGTGAGTGTCAGGAACGGGAACGCAACCGCACTTCTGTACAGACCAGGAAGCGATGGAAGAGTTGAATCATGCCGTGTACAGGGACACAAGCGTAAAAATGGCTACATTTCGAATGTGAACTGGCGATGGCATTGTGTGGCGACGAACACAACTGCAACTGTTCAAATTTCAGCATTTCGAACATTATGCTTCCCACCGAATGGCTCACATGACGGAGTTGGACATTACCAGGCTAGGATTATCATTTGCTGTATTTATGGATAGTCCTTGAGTTTTCAGATGAAGTGCTTTATCTTTTACCTGTCGTTCCTTTAGTGTGGCACAATGTCCATGGCTGCTTTCTTGTCTTCATAACAGACTGGTATAATCAGCATGATTCTGCTTTATTAGAGAAGAAATACAAGTAAAAATTTCCTTTCGGAAAGGAAGCCCAGAAACGTCAACCCCCATGGACTGTGCTGTATGACTCTCGTCCATCGACGTTAACCGTCGCAATAACTGCTGCATGTATGTTGTGCTGTGCGAACCGTACATGATTTTAACAGCTCACCCACGCCTTCCCAACAGGCTCCTATATCCCGTACCGATAGCGTTTCATTGAATATGAACTAGGCTAGCACAGTTATTCTTCGTTCTTTTGATGGCGGCGGGTAGCATGGAACTTGACGTGTTCTTGGGATCCTCGTGCAACACTTGCTGTTCCCGGATGCCATATTATTGGGTGCATCGAGGTTGCTTCTATGCTCACTGTTGTTTAGTAAGACAATTTTTTTATAACTGTTTCACCGAAAAATATGGCAAGAGTATTTTGGGTTGGTTTGGACGCCTGGCTTCTCTTCACATAATAATACAGGCATGTACTTCCACTAACCCTACAAGTGCACATGACTCATGAGCTTCTGAATCTGAAGACAGTGACGGTACTGATCATGTACATGACATTGTAGTGATGTACATGTACATCATGTACATGCAGTGCACCGTTCATTCATGCTGACAAAAAAAGTACACTACAGACGGTGTATACTGTAGCCTTGTGTAGGGTGCCCGCAGTGTAGCCTGGGTGCACAGGGTGCACTTGCCCCGTCTCACTCGCGGTTCGGAGCTTTGTGCAAGTCATCTATTGTAGGCACTGCCTCTACCAGACTGCGAGTTTCATACAAACACCCGCATGTCGCCATTGTAGAGCAGTAACTGTTGTACCTATTTTTCCAATTCTGGCCAGTCAGCTAATATACTTCTTTTTCGTCTTGGAAGTTAGACGAGGGGAAGTAGCCATGTAGGGGCGTGAGCCCGCCTTCCGGCCGGGGAGTTACAGCTCGCTTGAATCGACTCTACTTTAGTGAAGAGGACGCACTCCAATTGATCTGGTGAGCTGCGTCGTGGGGATTTTGCAGTCAGACGTGTGACTGCGGGGCTCGAACCCGCGACCTCTCTGGTCGCGGACAAGTGCAATATGCAATTATGTACTATTGGGTAGCCTTTTTGCTTATGGGGCATAAATCAGTATACGTGAGGTGTGTGTTATACACCTCACGGGCACGGATTTGATCAAGTGCTATCTATTGCCCTAGCTTGAGCGATTCTAGGTTGTTTGTGGTGCATACTGTATACCCATTACACTGCATCCACAGCTGTAATTTATGAAGGCCCGCTTTAGTACATGCGCTGTCCCCGCAAACGCGGAGGCTGTATTGATTTTTAAAACTTTCTTTGCAACTCCTGCAGTTTAAGTACTAAGTATCATTATTATCTTAACGTAACCCAAAATCCTAGGTCGGACCATGGAGAATGAAGTTGAAGCCACCACTGCAGCTATACTTATGGTTGATAAAATTAATATGGTAAAGACACACCTGGCAATATGGCGGTAAACACACGCCTGCCCACACACGCTCTCTAAGCTGCAAAGTTCTGGCACAGAGCTCTCCTTCTCACCTCCACCACCATCAGTTCGCGCCTGGCGCCTAGTCGATGCATGGTTGGCGGTATCCGACATAGCAGGCTGGTACATGGTAGATCTACATCAAGTAGCGCATGGCACATAGAAGATGACACATGGAGCATTAAAAAGAAGACTTTAGTAAGTTGAGAGTGCACCATACCGGTACCAGACATAAGGCCAGCCCGGGACATAAATCACATAATCCACTGCACCTGATACTACTAGACTCCACTAACAGCAGTTGCAATACTCACATGAATGATTGTGTCATGGTTACATGGTTATCAGTGCACATGTGCCATGGCCCAGGGGCAGGGCTAGGGAGACATGTCCGGGGCCAGGAAGGGTGACGGGAGATTAGTATCAGCTGACTTTTGTAGTTCTAGCCCGCTTGTGTCTGTACAGTACAGCAGCAGATCTACTCAGACGTCAGAGTACCAGGTAGTCTGCGAGCCAGAGTCCCGGTAGTACTCTGGCTCGCAGTGAGGTGTGAATCCGCAAAGCAGGCGTTCCGTATTGGATCATGCAAATCTGTCAAAGACCAAGTGCCAAACACCATGAACCATTGTCATTGCATAGTTTGGCATAGATGATGAGCGCGAGCGTCGTACAAGTATTAGTCATCACGTCGTTAGTAATAGTAGATCTGCGAAGGCAGGTTCAGATTTTGGGGACCTGACGAATGAAAATTGTTCAGAAGAGAATCTAGCTGGTTGTGTCAACAATGAATGGCAGTGCTAGACGATAAGTAGAACGATCACCATTACGTTAGGCTGGCCACGTGGTTTGGAGGAGGAAGCTGCTTCGCGTCGACCCCAAGAACGAAATAGTTGATGTGCACAAGTCTTCGATTTGGAAACCTTTGCGGCGACGCATTCCGATTGACCCTGGTAATGACGCTGGGTTGCGCATATATCCACATGGGAAGGATGGACTAATACTCACTGCTACCTCAACCAGTGAATTTCTCTGCGGCTGACTGAAATCTGGAGCGATAGGTGAGTGCTCGAACTTCTACTAGTACTAGTAATCGATCGATTGCTTGTGTCGTGTTGGCTAGGCGAGTAGCAGTCCATTTTGCACGCGTCGCTGTCATGAATCTAAAAATGTAATACCATCGATGCATCCAGACCTGAAAACCGTGTTGAAACCGTGTTGAAACCGTGTTGAAACTGGGTCGATACTGGGTCGATACTGGGTCGATACTGGGTTGAAACTGGGTTGATACTGGGTTGAAACTGGGTCGATACTGGGTTGATACTGGGTTGAAACTGGGTTGATACTGGGTTGAAACTGGGTCGATACTGGGTTGATACTGGGTTGAAACTGGGTCGATACTGGGTTGAAACTGGGTTGATACTGGGTTGAATCCAGACCTGAAAACCGTGTTGAAACTGGGTTGAAACTGGGTTGAAACTGGGTCGATGAGACAAAAGCACAGTACTCCTTTCGATCCACCGTTGATAGCACCATTCTTTAGAGTTGCTCATTCTATACTTTATGCCACTTTGCATGCAAGGAGCTGTGCCGATACCCACGGTGAACTGGGTACTCACTTGATCGGAGTGAGGGTAACAAGGATGCGGTTTATGGGGTTATAGGTCCGTTACACGCTTGCTTGTTTGAGAGACTCATCCCCTCTCCCCTGACTCACTTGTGAGTTCTGCATACCACACTGAGGATAAAATGGGTGTAGAAGTGGCCCGCCGATGCGAATGTCTTTGCTTGACGTGTTCCTGGGCACGTCAGGTGATGCGGCCACGGATATGGCTAACTAATTACTTTCCTTCTTTAAAAAAATTGTTTACAGCCAATATAATGGGTATTGCCAGATGTGGGGTCTGGGAAATATCGAAGTATATTCCCCTTTTCATGGCATTTCCCAGGCAGGTAGCTGCAGGCTTATCTAGCTTGCTTACAGGGATAGCGAGACAGTACGCAGGACCACCGGAAGCAGTTTTCGATTGGTCCGGTAGTATCATGGCCTTTCACACTCTGTGTATGATATGGCGGGTACACATGACCGCCACATTCGGAAACATGTGTAGGTGGCCAAAAAGTTGGTCCGGTACTAACCTGGACCGGTTCCGGCAGGCCTGGTACGATCTGAGAAAGATGAGAAGTTGGTGGAGAAGGGGTCGTCATATTTAAGATTTCATGTGCCCAAAACCCGCTGTGTCCAGGAAGGCACCAAATGTACTCGTATGGTAGGAGAACGCTTCTGAAGTTCATCGATGACCCACACCGGGATTGGGAAATGCTGCTATAGCTGATTTTATACAGTCAACTGACGTTACCGGTACTAGATAAGTTAACATTAATGGTAGATGTGCGTATTGCTTGCATGATGCAGCAATGGTGAGATTGCCAGAAGTCCTGTACAGGTGAACAGGATGGTACTTTAACAGGGAAATGGTATGGGCACTGTGTGGTTCAGGGTATACCGTACTCGCGCCATTAGAGCCCTCTCTTGAATAGCGCCCTATCTCGAATAGTGCCCCAGTCTCCAAGAGCCAGCGAAAAAATAAATCCCTCTCTTGAATAGTGCCCCCCCCCCCAAACGCATGTCCAAGTTTGGTGTTCTTTTGCTAATGCTCTTGTCCATGTCATTGCACTGGTGGTTTCAGGATCAAAATCGCAGTTCTTGTTGCCATTTCTGTCAAGTTGTGATAGTTTACAGTACACTTTAGGCTGGATGACGTAAATGTACCAGCATTGAAAAAATAGTGCCCTCTCTTGAATAGTGCCCCATCTGTGATGAACATTTGAAAAAATAGTGCCCCAGGGGCACTAATCGCACGAGTACGGTACCAGCCATAAGGCAATGCTGCATGTTTAGGTCCCAAGTACACATTCCAGCAAAAATAGGTCAGAGTTTTGGAGAGAAAAAAATTACTATGCCTGTCTGGGATAGGCCGTTTACATTCTTGAGATGCTTTGTATAGATGATCTTAGGAAGAGAGCAAGCTTCGGGTTTTTCACCTGCACAATTAGTCTTAAAATATGTTGCTGGTGAATCGCCTGAAGTGTGTCCTCATCTTAGAACATTATGTTTGTCTCTCTAAACTTAAGTCCACCATGCGACTCGTAGATACAATTGTTGGGCAGTTCATTGTGGGTTGAAACTCTGCCTAGTTACTGCCAATTCCTTGTTACTGAATGCGTCACACAATACGGCCTTTGTTGTTCGATATTAATTTTTCGTTTCTATAGCAGTTACTGCCTAAACTCAGTGATGTGGTCGAGCAAGGAGCCGATCCCGGCCCTGAGTGGCCTACCAGAGCCCGGCTCACGGTGGGAGCTCATTGAGAAGATTGGCAGCGGCACGTTTGGCGAGGTTCACAAAGCGAGAGACTTCACCTCCGGAGCGATGGTGGCAGTAAAGGTCAGACTCACAGCTAAGAGCAGGGCATGTAGAAGCTAGATCATGACATCATTCTATGACATCATTCTGTGACTTTATTCCATCACCCCTGTTGTGTATGTCCTCAATTTTTGGGGAGTGTTTTGTGTGAGGCGACATCACCGGCTTTGCTGCTTGATTCATACCATCGCATGATGATGATGTCATTCAGATAGTCTGCGAGCATGGGATGTTGAGAAGTGTGGTTAAATTCACCTTTTGTCGTCCATCACTGTTTGGTTGGGGTAGAGTGACACTTTTTGCACAGTAGTCATTGTCATAAAATGATTGCATGTGTTTGTGGGGGCGTCGGAAGGTATTTTAGTATGGTACGGTCAGCCGTCTGAACTATACAATTTACTCCTGAGAGAGTGGTGGGTGAGCGGAATATTTTGGAAATTTAGATCCCAGATCAGTGTATTTTATTGACTCTCGGAGTACCTGGGGCAAAATGTGGTACGGTCAATACCGTAGTGACCGTACCGTGTCCGACGCCCCTGGTTTTCAATTCGTTTTGCAACGCTGTGTTGATGGCCTCATTTTTGGCTGCAATTATGGCTAACTATGGACACGTTTTGAGTCCCTTTGGTGGCATGAATAAACTGGTGTCTTTGCCTTTTGAGAGGCACAGGAATATGTCGAAAAGTACGAAACTGTGTGTTTGGATTTATCATTACTGTTCTGTCCACTCAGTCTTCACAGGTAATTACGTGATAAGATAGATAAAGTGAATGTATCATCCTTGGTAGTCATCTATAGCTGTGTGTGTGTGTGTGTGTGTATGTATGTGTGTGTGTGTGTGTATGTGTGTGTGTGTGTGTGTGTGTGTGTGTGTGTGTGTGTGTGTGTGTGTGTGTGTGTGTTGTTGTTGTATGAATATAGATAATGATCTGTGAGAGTGACAAGGAACAGGAGCTGGAAATGGAGGTCAACATATTCAAGAACTTCTGCTCGCCTGGCACCTCTCATCCCAACCTGCCGACATTCCACGGAGCGTTCATACAGCGCAGTGAGGAACGCTATGAGCTGGATAGACTGTGGCTTATCATGGAGGTATGATCAGCTGTACTCACCAGTGTATACTCGCTGAGAGCCCAGTTCTTTCATGCTTCTTCATGTGTCAGCTATGCACGCAATACTGACTGGAAAAAAAGTGTGATGCACAGGCTTCAGGAGCTGAGTCTGCCTTTCTCTTGAGACTGACAGATATCCTATGGATGCATGCTGTTCAGTCTCAGAGTACCATGTGAGACATCAGTCTAACCTAGTCTCGTACGAGCCATGGAGTCTTTTGTGCATTTATGATCTGAAAACATGCCTATGGTGGACATAAGCAGGATTTCACAATGACATGAGTTTGAGGTGTTCCGCTTACTTGAATAACTTTTGCTGGCAACCGGTGTGGATTAGTGGTGCTACCACTCGTAACCCAGTGTAACGACTGGGTGTTGCCGATGAATCTCTTGTAAATAAATCGTTATCACTTTGTTACAGTGATGCCGTTACACATACCGTTTCAGCTCGTCCTTTTGTTCGAAACTTTGAAATTTTGTTTTAGCTCTGCCGCAGTGGATCAATGTCTGAGTTGGCCAAGGCGATGGTGAAGCAGAACAAGACACTGTCCGAGGACGTGATCGGTTACGTCATGAAAGAAACACTCAAGGTATGGATTCACGTTGCATCCCAGACAGCCCCAACATTTAGCTGCCTTTTTAGTTGCCCTCTGGTATCATAATGATCTGGTTTGCTAGTAGTGACTGTGATTAATAATTGCCTTTAGTTTGTATGACATGCACTAAGTTGGGATTGTTCTCTTCATTTTTCCGGGTAATCACGAATTTTTCAATAGAGTTCTTTATCCGAGACAGACCCTGTCGCATTGGTCCTCTTTGTATTGACATGTTCCTGCTGTTATACATTGATATTTAGGTACTTGTTTCCCTTCTTCCCATGCTTCATCTTCCCCTCTCCTCTCCCCCATTTCCCCTTTTTCTTGCTAGATTTATGTGGGAGACTTCTGTGATAAGCATCCATTTGCTTTTGGAGAATCCTTTTAAGTACAATACAATACATGTGGTAAAAAAGGAGAAGGAAAAAATGTTATGAGTTATGACTTTTTCACCATAATTTAATTGGCTCACCATCCGAGTTGAATACATGTGGTTTGAGACTTTCTGGCAATCTTGATCTGTTGACGAATTTTCACTTGCACAATCCTGCTCGCTGTAGCTGACTTAAACTGGGCTGTGTATGGGATAGATTGCATTGGTCTTGGGAAGCTTGCGTAACCAAAGCGTATTATGTTACCCATTGTTGCTGGAGATACCTACTCAGAGTACATAATATCAGCAAAATGAAAACATGTGGGTAGCAACATTGATATTTGTTCACCGCCATTCCGCTATTCGCATTGCTTTTCATTCAGAGTTTTTTTTCTTTTCTTGTAGGCACTGGTCTTCCTCCATTCTCATGACATCATCCATCGTGACGTGAAAGGTGGTAACATACTACTTACTCATGACGCACACGTCAAGCTTGTCGACTTCGGTGAGTTGTACTGGAGGGAAATGTTTTTTGAGCTTTGTACATATTGTATTGTTTCAGGTGCATGCTGGTATTGCTGACGTTACACGCCCTTCCTTGCGATACTTACAATACTTGCAATACCAATGCTGTTCTTTTCAACCAGAAGCCAATGACTAGCCATGGATGTACCTCATCCCCTCGGGCATGCCCACACACGCCCACACACGCCCACACTCCAGTTCTGCAAAGGGGTTCCGTTTTGGGGGGGGGGGGGGGGACACAAAGTTTCACTGAGCTCGGTGTCTGGAAATTTGTTTTGGCCTGTGCATGGTGGACCTTCATTGCATAGCTAGATTATGTACTAGCCTGTGATATCTTGACTACTTCACTATTGCACATTCCACTGGTGCCACTTGCACAGAGTCTAGCTACTTGATAACAGTGTGCATGATTGACAAAACATACTGTGCTGCTTAATGAAATCCAGTCGCGTCACTCAAGTTTGCGACTTGCATCATTTGGCAGACCAGTGTTCGCAGGTCTAGGGCCTTGTACCGCCCGGTGCGTACTTGAGTGATGTGACTGGACTTCATTGAGTAGCACTGTCCTTAGCGCTTGCTCTGTGTGCCACACATAGCATGCATTGTTGACTGCTCTGGCACCGTCCTCTAAATAGTTATGCTTCAGTTGTTGTGTTCTTCTGGTCAGATATTTTATGGGCAATGTACCCATCACAAGCCTGCTGGGTTAAGTCACCTTCAGCCCATTTGTGATATGATACTGTGATACTGTTGATAGTGATACTGTTGGTTCAAAGATGCCTATGTTCTTTCCTTCATTCTTCCTACACTCCCCACAGGAGTTTGCGCGCAACTGAAGGAGAAAGAACAGAAAAGAAACACGTCCATTGGGACCCCGTACTGGATGGCGCCAGAGGTGAGAGTGGATTCCTCGTAGCCATGTTGTGCCAGGGCATGGTATTAGTGTTGCAATATTGACTTCATGTGGAGCAGAATGTTGTTTGTCAGCCATTGCGTCAAGGAACACTATAGTACAGCTGCTGGACCATGCGCTGGCACTTACAGTCAGACCTGGCATAACCGCACAATGATCCGTTTTCCACAAAAACATCCGGACAGGTGAGGGAACCGGATAATCGAACACACATACTGTATGTATGCATGGCATATGCTGTAAATCGGTAACCAACGACTTTCTTCCCGATGGAAAGGGATCCGGATAAAAGAGGACCGGGTAAGCGAGGTCTGACTGTACCTCTGTTGTAAACTATAATTATCTTCTGGTCAAGGAGCCATATGTATTCATTCTGAATTACGTAAATGCAGCAGAGAGCAATTGTTGTCTTGACCTGAGCTGCTATCCCAAGGAACTCGTTTGGGTTTAGTTTTGTTTGTCAGGAGACACATTTAGGTAAAGCCCTTCAGGGATAACGGAGATGTATGTGGGTGTGGGGGGAGGGGGGGGGGGAGTGTGTGTGTGTGTGGGGGGGGGGGGGGGGAGTGTGTGTGTATGGGGGGGGGGGGGGAGTGTGTGTGTGGAGGGGGGGGGGGGGGAGTCAACACAAGGCCGGACACAAGGAGGTGTAGGGCGGGGTCGTGGCTTGTGTACTGATCACTGTATGCTGCTGTTGCCGTTGTTTTGCCAAACTTGTATTGTTCACTATAGGTGATTGCATGTGAGCACTACCTCGAGGCGGAGTACGATGCACGGTGTGATGTATGGTCGTTCGGCATCACGCTGATCGAGCTGTGCGACTCCCGTCCTCCCCTGCACACTGTGCCTGTCAACGAAGCCATCTTCAAGATACCCAGGTCAGTCATGATTGCTAAACTCTAGACATTGTTGAATCATCTGGTAGGTGTATTTACCGCCATATTGCCTGGTGGGTGTATGTTGGAGAAATGAAGAATTTGGTGCAATGGGCTCATGTTACATTGTCCTTGGTCCTTCCTGGCTGTTGACGGTATGCCATCATGACGCACTAGCCTGCCTCACTGTCTCTGCGTGTGCATCATTTCTCATAATTATTCACTTAGCCGCCTATCCCAACAGCAATGTTTCTTGTCGCAAGCTGGCTGTGCATAGTGTCCAGCACATATCCGTATTTCTTTCTATTTCCGATTGTGTTCTTGACTGCCTACGTACATGCAGGGCTAGTCCACCCACCGTTAAGCAGCCAACTCAGTGGTCCACTTCTCTGAATGACATCATCAGCAGGTGAGATCAATAGCTGGGCCAAAATAATTACTCAGTTCTCTCTTTATGCCTGCATTACTAGCTATCACAGGCTCTCATGTAAGCCTGGTTCCGGGACCCTTCCTCCACCTCTATCACGTCCCCATGGGCAAACTGAAGGAAGAAACAAGGGTGTGAGCAAGCAAGAGAGTGAGCGGGTGGCGGAGTGTATGTAGGAGAGAGGTAGATAGATAGAGATAGATAGATAGAGAGATAGAGAGATAGAGAGAGACAGTGAGTGAGAGCGGGAGAGAGAGAGAGCAAGAGAGAGAGAGAGAGAGAGATAGAGAGAGAGAGAGAGAGAGAGAGAGAGAGAGTGAGTGAGTGAGAGAGAGAGAGAGAGTGAGTGAGTGAGTGAGTGAGAGAGAGACTTTCTATCCACTGGCAATACTACTCTATGTTGATCTGTGGTGTGCTAAACGGTTGGAGCACTCAGACAAGCAGCAAACTGGTGAACACGTAGTCTGCTATAGAGGTAGAAGTGGAGGCAATACTACCCTGTTGGCTGTATCGTGCAGTGATGATAAGGTGAAGTAGTTGATTCTATGCAACTCCCTTAGACCCTATACCGTTTGTTTTTTTGCTCTAGGTGTCTGGTTAAGAACTATGAGAAGCGGCCATCCATCCAAGACCTGTTCGACATCGACTTCATGAAAAATGTGCCATCAAATACGAAGCCGGTAAGCTGAAAAAAACGGTTCGCTGGCCAGCTTTCACATCAAGTGTGTCCTTGGCTTGCTACGCTCTCTCAGCCTGTCTGCCCTCCCCCCCCCCCCCCCCCACACACACATACACACTCTTCTCTTCTGATATATCTCATTCAACGGGTTATCACTCTCACATCCTTACTTGATAGCAGTCACTCCTATGGTTATTTGAGGTGTTTTGCCTACACCTTGAGCATGGTGTAATCCAGCATAATCAAGTAGCCATGCAGATGAAGCTGACCATGATGATTTAATGGAACGTGGATGCATACGCGACCTATATCGGAGGATTATCTTCTTCCTGGTATACAATATTGTGCCGCTGTGCTCTCTTAAACTGCTTACTCTGTTCTCACTTTGCTTGTTCTACCATTGCTGTGTTCACCTGTGTAGACAAGGCGTCAGCTCATGGCTGCTGTGGATATGGCCAATGGCGGTGATGGTGATGGTGCTGGTGACGGTAGTGATGGCAACACTTCAGGCGAGGACACTGCAGACAAGACTGATGGCGACATGACGCTGCGCAGTGGTCGGAGAGTGGGGGATGAGCTGGTCAACGACCTGACCAAGCTGGAGGTTCTGGATGAGGTATGTGATTTGGGAGATGTGAGGTATGTGATTTGGGAGATGTGAGGTATAATGCCACAGAAGTACTGTGTAGGACGTTATTTTCGGTGTAGCTTTGATTTCTGCACAGAAACCAGGCACCTGCATTTGCCTTACAGCTAAAAGGCACTGGAGAATGTACTAGAGTAGCCAACCCAAGCTCCGTACCCCATTCTATTCTTTTTGTACTAGAGTATGCACTGTACATGTATGTGCCGGGGATGCTGGTCACTTAATTCTACATCACACCTGAAACCTGGCAGGTCCCTGACACTGAAATTGTAATTCACGTAAAATGACATGTACCTGGGAGGAGGTGCAGGTGCAGAGCCGTGTACACTGTGTGTCTACTAAGCACTGGCTCTTGTGCTTGTATGTTGTCCGTTCAGTCCGTGCTGCTGCATCATCTGGCGAAGCGCTACGCCAAGAACATCATCTACACCAACATCGGTGACATCCTGCTGGCTATCAATCCCTTCCAGACGCTCAGCTTCTATGATGAAAAGGTGCGGCTGATCATTGCACTGATCATTGCACTGATCATTGCACTGATCATTGCACTGATCATTGCACTGATCATTGCACTGATCATTGCACTGATCATTGCACTGATCATTTCACTGATCATTGCACTGATGATTGCACTGATCATTGCTGTGCGTGCTTTACCTGTGTGCATGTTGTATTGTGTTCCCTGATGAAGTCCTTAGGATGGAAATTAATTTGGAGAGAGTAGAACTTTTGAATTGCAGCATCTGAGACCGTAGGTATGGGGGTGAATGATATTAGAAGAGGATCATCTTGATTGTGTCAGTGTAGAAGTTGTTCGCCGGCATAAAGGTTTCTTTCCGGATAGAGATTCATCTGTGAAACCTCAAGCAACATCTAGACAGATCTTTGCGTTCCTCTGCATGTGCACATAGATATAACCTAGATAGATATAGTGGATATAGCCTTGTTTGTGTTACAGGCTTAAACGTACTGATACATCTCTCCACTAATTATTGGATGTTGCTTCTGCCGCTTCTGCTGCTGCTGCTGCTGTTATTGCGCTAGACGTCCGACCTGTACCGAGAGCGAGTGGATGATCACACAATGCCGCCGCATGTCTACACGATAGCCGGACAGTGTTATCAGGACATGATGGTGCAGCGGCGCAACCAGGTGAGTAGTAGCAATCTACACAATCTGTATATCAGTGTTAGAGTGCTAACGCAAGTTAGCACCCAGCCCAGCAAGCTGGCCCAATTTGCACGCATGCGCGAGTCGCACGGGCAAGATCCCCCCCCCCCCTTCAAGATCCCACCCCCCCCCCCTTCAAGATCCCACCCCCCCCCTTCAAGATCCCCACCCCCCCCCCCCCATTCAAGATCCCACCCCCCCCCCTTCAAGATCCCGCGCAATGTACATGTACCTTGCTTTTTTATTGCTGTTTTGACTTTCGAGCTTGCAACTTCTTGATCGGTTGGGTGAATGTCCTGGAAAATTCATGTTTTTTGTGTGTATATGTGTGTATGTGTGTGCGTGTGTGTGTGTGTGTATGTGTGTGTGTGTGTGTGTGTGTGTGCGTGTGTGTGTGTGTGTGTGTGTGTGTGTGTGTGTGTGTGTGTGTGTGCGTGTGCGTGTGTGCATGCACACGTGCATGCCTGTGCATGTGTTGATACGTAGTGCTGTGTGATTAGCGGAGAAAGCGGGTCTGGCAAGACAGAAACTGCCAAGTACCTAGTCCAGCAATTCACTAAACTTGGAAAGGTGAGTGACCAAAGTGGCTGTCTTTGTTACTTTGCAGGTATCAGAATAGCTTGAGAGACTCTTCAGAAGACCTCTGCTGTACAAATATGACACATGACAAAACTATAGTTATGTTAGGCTGTGGTCATGCTGCAAAACATTCTACATAACTAACCGAACCGTTATAACTGGGGAGTATGACATGCTCGTGTATACATTGCAATCGTGTATACATTGCAATCGTGTATTTTTTTATTTTTTACTAAGTCCACTATGCTCCCGAATGAATGCGGAAAGTGGTGGCGGGGCCCTGCTGCTCAGCCGACCTTGGTGGTCTCGGCGTCTGCACAGACAAAGCGCGACAAGAAAAAATAGAGAAGGAGATAGGAGACATAAGAGAGAGAGAGAAAAGAAAAACAAGACGAGAGCAAGACATGTATACGTAAGTGCAGCGCCCACACATCCTGTACATTGCAATCGTGCAGTGACTGTGAAGACAGGCGCGTAGCACTGCATTTGGAGGTGGTCCGGCAAGAGGGGGGTCCGGGGGCTGTCCCCCGTGAACAATTTGAAATTAGGGTGCATAATCCTTCATTCTGGGCACCTTTGACCGTGGTCGGGCAAAAAAGTGGTCCGGCCAAAACCGGACCGGCCGGACCGGCTGTTACGCCCCTGGAAGAAGTCATCTGACGTGTGATTCTGTGTTTCTGCATTGCCTGTAGGCTATAAATCAGAACCTGGAGAGTGGAATCCTCAAGGTGAGAGACAGAGGGAGTGCGGTGGGGATAGTGTGTGAGAGAGAGAGAATGGGGGCGGTGGTGAGAGTGAGAGAGTGAGTGAAATAGAGTGCGGTGGTGAGGGTGAGAGAGAGAGAGTGAGAGAGTGACTGAGTGTTAGATTGAGAGGGTGAGAGAGTGTGAAAGAGATGAGCATAACATTGACTAATTGAGGAGAAATTGTGACTTCATCTGCCATTGAATATGTTTTATATTTCATTAGTCAATGATGAAATGTTTGAAGGGTAAACTTGCTGCTCGCTTTCCAATAATGTGTTCCTATTTGAGCCGCAACTCATACTGCACTTGCTGAACTTGATGACATTGTCAACCCTACTAGTTTCACGGTTGTCTACACTCTTGTACAATTTACAACTCGTTTGTCCCTAGGTCAACCCGTTATTTGAAGCCTTTGGAAACGCTAGCACCGTGATGAACGGCAACAGCAGTCGCTTTGGAAAGTACCTGATGCTCAGCTTCCTGCCGACTGGTCACATTGTCTCAGGTTGGCATGGCAACTCTAGTGTAACTGTTGGGGTAATTAGGAGTCCTAGTACTTCAGTGCTTGCATTTGTGGTGTAGTGTTATGATGCTCTTACAATAGTGAGAGTTCCCAGATTGCCTAGAGTGCTCAACACCACAAGGATGGATCATTACGGTAACACCACAAAGGCAGAAGAGAACAGAGACAGCCGGCTAGGTCATCGTTGTAACGCAAAGCTAAGGCAACCCTCAGACAACTGATGCTCTTATGTATTCCTGGTGTGTATATACTTGTGTCGTGTCCGTGTGTTGCTATCTGTATTGTATTCCGTCTGCTCCTACATGTATCTTTGTCAAGTGTTTTGCCGTGGCGTCGATGTGTCTCATCTATTAGTAGCGTTGGGAAACATATCACTATTCATGCTTTGCTGGCTGGCTGCTCGCGCCCTTCGCTCCTTCAGCTTGCACGCTACTAGGACATAATAGCAGTATATAGCTCGATGCTTTGCTTCGAGAGGTAGTTGTTGTTCTTGTTGCTTCTCTGTTGCTTGGTCCTAGAGTGAAGCTTTGGTCTTCTTGTGTGGCGAGGGTGAGGAATGGGTATCTGGACTCCTGGTATATTTCCGTAAAGAACCGGGAATTGTAGAATCCTGAGAGTATGTCTGGCCAACTCCCCGGTCATGACACTTGTAGAGAGAAGCTTGAAGGTGTTCTACTTTGTACACATGTATTTGCACGGAGGTGATCATTTAGGTATAATTAACAAGTTAACAACTTTTAAAAATAGTTGAAGAGTGTGGGGTTCTGCAGCAGGAAGCAGTGTGGCTGTGTGGAACCAAAGTCTCCCACTTCTGTGAGAATTCTAAACGAGTGTACATATGTGGAGACAACCATGCCCTTGGCTTATACTGAATGTCACACACAAGAAAACTGGCTGGCTGCTCTTGTAGCTTTACATTTTTTCTCGCACTGGGAAAAGCAGCTAGAACCGTTGATCTTTATGTTCTGAAAGGAGAGTGAACTGATCTGCACTGTGTGTGCCTATACGGCTAAAGGATCGTGCATGCCTAATATGCGATTGTACCATGCTGCTCATGCCTACAGTCATTTAGAATATGGACTGCAAAAGGCAAGGTCAGAAGAATAGGCTTTGGCGGTAAAATTTATGTCAGATTTATAATTACGGAAAATACGATCGCGTTCGCGACAGGGTAAAAAATGATCAGGAATGATTGTGGGTGACAGCATTGGCTGGTATTATAGCACACTCTCTCTCGTACATTCCTGTTGTCATTCGGATATCTAGGAAAACTCAGTTATCATCTTCTCCCCCTCCCCCCTATCATGTATTAATTTAAGCTTTACAGTTTCCACACTTGAAGTTCACAACCCATGCTCTGCTTCACGCTCTATTGTTACATGCAGCACAAGTTTCGCAGTACCTCCTCGAGTCGTCGCGAGTTGTTTTCCAAGCACCGTAAGTCTGTTTGGAAATCACCTGTATGACATCCCTACCATGCGGTGTTGCTGTAGAATTTTGTGTGCGAATTGGATGTACACTGTATGAAACATCTGATGAATCCAGCTTATCCTACCCAGGTATACGTCGCACTGGCGTTTCTTCCATGAGTCTGCGCCTACACTTTTGTACATGCTTCAGCAAAATGCAGAGTTTACTTAAAACGTCTTCGTGAGTGCCTACTGCTGAGCAGATGGTACAACCTGGGGATAACGTATCCATGTATCCCGATCATTTTTCTCTGGTAAACTCTTACCTAATACTTCATACTGGAATTGAGTTCAAGTGACATATTTGGGCTATTCTGTGTGTGTGTGTGTGTGTGTGTGTGTGTGTGTGTGTGTGTGTGTGTTCTTGTGTTGTGTTCATGGTGCAGTGGAGAGAGGAACTTTCACATCTTCTACTATATGTACGCGGGCCTGAGTGAGCGTTCCTTACTAAATCGCTATCAGCTCATCAATATCAACCAGCACAGGTCAGCTGACTATACTGTAACAACAGAATTACAGTGTGTCTTGTCCATCTTGGAAGTTTACCGAAGAGTTTATTTTGCAGTGATTTGAACCTTTTTCAAGTACAGTCAGACCTCGCTTCATTAATTTAACCGCACACATCCGTTCTCCACAAAAATATTCCGGATAGGCGAGGGAACCGGATAATCGAGCACACCAACTCCTGTTTTGAGTTGTTTTTCTTCTCTGTTTTTCTTTCCCTACTAGTTGCTGTTACACTCACTGATCCTTATGCACAGATATACAGCATTCCCTCACTAGTGGGACCATTGTTATTAGGCTAGGGCCTGTTTCGGACTTCCCACTCTAAATAAAGAATACAAACAACAAACAAACAAACAAACAAATACTGTATGTATGCACTGCAACTGCTGTACATCGGTAACCAGCGATTTTCTTCCTGATGGTGAGGGATCCGGATAAACGAGGACCGGATAAGCGAGGTGTGACTGTACTCGTAATATGAGTACATTATACTGATCTGAAGTCTAACCCGTTTAATGACTATCCCATGATGTTTACCTAGCCTGTCTTTGATGACAGGTTTTAGGTCTACAAAGGTCCAAATGCATTTTAAGTAGCATAGTGTGGGACTGAGACACAGGTGGTCTGTAAAGTCAGTCAGTGTCTTAAGACAGGTGATATGTTACTTCAGTGGCTGGTCATGGCATGTGTATACCGTAGGGATGAATTGCTTTCAATCAGACCCCGCCGCCAAACAGGTTACGCCGTGCTCAGCTCACGCCTTGGCTGTTGGAATGTGTGGATATGTGCAGGTATCTGAGGTCCTCCCAGTCCGAGGTGAAGCAGTCAGCAGAAAGCAACCGTGCTGCATTCAAAGACATTCTCAAGTGCTTCAGCGTCATGGCTTTCTCGGACATGGTTAGTCCTAGTATTACTTAGAACACAACTTAGCGTATTCTCCTGGGCCTGGAATGCACTGGAACATAAGCCATTACCCCCCCCCCCCCCCCCCGCCGTCCCTGTTGCTCTCCGGGAAAGCATCCCATTGACTTTAGTATTTTGTGTGCATAGAAGTGAATACGTGGGGCAATGATGTGCAACAAGGTGATTTGAGCCCAATTTTCCAGATGTAATTATGCTGTGATCACCCCAAGAACTCCTGTGCTTTTGTTAAGTCATACATGTGTAGCTATGATGTGGCTGTCACATGTGTGTTTTCTCTTGCACACGCATTCCAGGAAGTTGATAATATCATTCACATCCTGGTAGCCATACTGCACATCGGCGATGTACAGATCAGAGCGGATACCTTCGCCAGCGCATCACACGGCATCGATGCCAGCATCGTTGCCAATCCGGACAAACTGCCTGTCGGTAAGTTTATAAGGGTCACAGATTGCGTTTTCAGTTGACAGACTTTGAGCGGTATGCAACTGCTGTTCTAGCTGGAAGGCAAGTGTTGAACATAGCATTGTCATGCTTGGCATACATCGGTGCGGCATACATCGGTGCGGCCTTATCCCGCATCAACACAGTTGACTTGTCTTATGTGCTCAAGTATTACCGTATTTCCCCGATTATAAGTCGCACCTTTTTAGACTAAAATCCAGGGTAAAAAAGGGGGTGCGACTTACAATCGAGCATGACTTACTACCGAAGTGAATATATCGCAACAATATTGCTCAAACCTGAAAATGGGGGTGCGACTTATAATCAAGTGCGACTTATAATCGGGGAAATACGGTATGTGATATTCATCAAATGAAGGTCTAGACCTCGTGATGTGGCTCTCTCTCTCTCTCTCTCTGTGCCGCTCTGTGTCTGCTCAGTTGCATCACTTCTTGGTCTGCGGACGGATGACATTGTTCAAGCCCTAACAACCAGTGTTGTCACAGCAAAAGGTGAGTTCAACTGCAGTAAAACCTGTGACTAACGACCACCCCTTGGGACCAGAGAAAGCGGTCTTTAGTGGCAGGTGGTCCTTAGTTAGAGGTTTGCACCGCACAACCATAATTATATGAATGTGAGACCGTCTGTGCCTGGTGAAGTGGTCTGTAGTACCAGGCTGGTTGCTAGTCATGGTGGTCTTCAGTTACAGATTTCACTATACCTGAAACATGGGATGAACAGAGCTCTATGATAGCAAAGGTGATTGGCAATCAATACTGATTGCAAGGCCAGGCAATGTAGCAGACTGCTAACTTCCGTAGCTGAAATAGGGCCTGGCGATACACTTTGCCAGGAATTTTTTCTAGCAACTCAGACCCAGTGGTGCAGAAACTAGGTAATGGGGAGCAGAATTATCACTAGCTGACACTAGCTGGTTGCAGCAAAAGCAGCATCAACAGCAGTAGTAGGAAAGTCCACTGTGCAGAATTCCAAACGTTTTACTGCTGTGACTTCACATTCCCTGTGCTCTACTTGACCTTTCCACTAGGTGAGGCCATTGTACGGCCCAACACTGTGGAGGATGCTGAGGACTGTCGGGATGCCATGGCCAAGGTATGCAATGCTTGAATTTACTGCAACACAAAAAGTGACAAATACTTCGAAATAGGCATGGCAATATATGGACTGTTCAGTGTTGAGTTCCGCTCATGTTACAATATCTAATTGCCTGGAAAGTGTGCTATTCCTTAACTTCGCGCTCCGTGTACTACTGGAATCCAATCCTTGTCATTTTAGCTTCCTTAATTTTGTAACTGGAATGATGAAGTGACTTGAAGTGACAGCCATTGGGAGCCATCAACAAATTTGTTGGCCGCGGAACACTGATATGCCAGAAATCTGCCTTTGATATGCTTCGCAGAAAACTCTCGCTTTGCAGAATGCAGGCTGAACCCTTCAAGCATGAAATGCTCCTTATGAGTCGAGTGTATCCAATACTGTTCTTAGTTGCAAGAATCCCGGCACGAATTCTTTTTGGCACCCCCGTTCCGGCAAGTGAGTTAACTGTCACTGCAATGGCTAGTATTTATTACATTTCCGAACATGAAGATGCCGTGAGGTGTTATCCCTTGGATTAAGCGCTTGAAAGTCGAAGTTCTACGGTGTGTTGTACTCAGCCTCTGCCATGGTGTTATCCTGCGTATACAGGAGCTGTATGGAAGGTTGTTTAGCTGGCTGGTGAACCGCTGCAACAAACATCTTCAGTCCAAGCGTCAACAGTAAGAGCATCATCCCGGATATCCACTCATCGTTGGTCTATTCGACAAGCATTGCCCAGCATGCGTTACGTAACCTTTTCAGTCATGTTCACAGTACACGCTCACTCTATGCTCTTTGATACATGTACCGGTGTGTGTGTGAAGCACTTGTACCTTGCCTCAGAGTGAGTGAACCAGCACACATGCATGACCCTGGCTAGTCAGGGCATGCTATTCTGCCGTATACCGATTGTGTTGCGCCGTTCTATTGTCTTCAATGCGCAGACACTCTGAGCTCCTGGAGGTCGGAATCCTGGACATATTTGGCTTTGAGGACTTCAAGACCAATGGATTTGAGCAGCTGTTCATCAACATCACAAATGAGCAAATCCAGTACTATTTCAATCAGCATATCTTTGCTATGGAACAGGTATGGACTAGCTACAATCCTTCAAGGAAAATGTTTCCATGACTGAGATTTCCCACCTCGGGACCATTTTGGGGCCAGGATAATATAAATGCACCAGTTTGAGGTACAGTGTCCGGTTGATGCGACTGGTGTGTAGGAGTTGGGTCGAAGGTGCCACCGAGTACTCCGTTCCTGAAACAGCCCTGTAGTGGACTGTTCTGTCACACACGCGACGTGCTGTGCCTTATAAAGGATTGTGCTGCATGGTGCAGTGGCACTCAGGTGGATCCTCCACCATTGTGATATTGCTGTTAGTGTTTACCTGGTCACTGAAGCCCTTTAGAGAGCCGCTTATCATCCTGCATGATCAAGTTTGACTCGCGCAGAACCATTGTTGTGTTAAGCTGTGTTGCAAAGCAGTGTTATGTGCTGGCTCCTGTGCAGGCGGAATATACCAGTGAAGGCATCTCGGCAAGTTCTGTCCCGTTCTTGGACAACTCTCCGTGTTTGGCAATGTTCTTGCAGGTGAGAATCATGCATAACATTCTGCACGTACGACAGTGATGCTCTGCTGCTAAAAGGGAAGCACGCATGCAATTGGGTATATTCCCGTAGAAACACTACCATGATGGTGTGATGCTAAGTGGTAAGCATTGGGAGTATAATATTTGACTCCTTAAAGTGTCAGCGTTGTGAATGTTGTGCGTAATACAAACGAACCATGACAGCATCATCAGGCGACAAACATCTGCTTGAACTTCCTCCAACCATTGCCTGTGTGTCCGTGTGTCATTGTTCCATTGCTTCACGCAGAAGCCATTGGGAATGCTGGCATTGCTGGATGAGGAAAGTCGATTTCCGAAGGCTACCGACAACACTCTGATAGGTGAGTGTTTCTCCTGGTTTTGTAAATGGAGACCGTTCTCGAATGGGTTTATCTCAGAGAAGAAAGGTCTATCTCCACTAGGTAGTCTTTGAGAAATAGAGCAGCTGACAAATTGTCACGGTAGCACTTTGGTTCCATCACCGTCCTTCTTGGTTGAGTTTAGTGAACAGAATCTGTACCCATTGCATGAAGATAGTGTTCTTTTACAATGCATGCACTAGCTAACTTGTGCATAGACTGATGTGTCTTCCTGACCATCTGTAACAATGGTTTGGTTTGGGTAGAAAAGATTGTAGAAGAAGAGAGAAGAAAAGAGAAGAAACACATGGAAACGAGTTATGCAGCAACTATCCCCGACTGTAACAAGGTGATAAACGGTCAGAAAGTGCGATAATAGGGCACAAAACTGACAGGCTACTGAGACATTCATCGACCTGAGACCTAGCTCTAACACATCTCCAGTGCGCAAACCAACAGCCTTCCAACTTGGAAGGTCCATGGTTACGTAGGACCGAAGAGGGGAAGGGTCAGTATCCGAGTTTAAAAGATTGTAGGCATGCATTTTTTGTTTGCTTGAGCTTTCTTCACTGTCTTGCCAATATGTTCTCCATTCAGACAAGTTCCACACACACTTGAAAGACAGTGAGTTCTACAAAGCGCCACGGGACAACTCTTGTCAGTTCACGATCACTCACTATGCTGGAAAGGTAAGCAAAGCGCCCTGTGCATCTGTCCCCAGACGCTTGGAGAGAGTAGCTGTGTTTTGGACCGGTGACGGCTTGAAAACCCACTGTATACTGTGCAACTTGCTCCATATTCTACCGCGTACCTTTGCATTCATTTCACATTCATTTGTCATTGGCAGTCATTTGACGATCGAGGAAATGTTGAATAAATACAAATACAAAAGAAACATGGACCAAGGAACTACAAGTTACGCTATAATGTCCACTAACACCACCAATTACTAAACAATCAGCTCTTGCATTTTTCTTTCCGAACGCTGCTTCTGTACTTGATTGTGCTAACTGCTTTACATGATGAACTCCACATTGTGGAAAGCTGCATGCCCACTCTAGTCCTGTGAAAACCTGGTGAAGGTGACAGTGATGATGATAATCTCACAAGTGCTGCCTACATTGTGTTTGTCTGTGTCGTGCTTTCTGCCGGTTGCCGATGCGCAGGTAACATACCAGGTTGCCTCGTTTCTGGAGAAGAACAGAAACACGTTGCCGGTGAAGATGACAGAGCTACTGTTTCAAGCAGGTATACATAATGGATTGACTGTATACTGTATATCGATACTCTGAAGTTTGAGGGAGACTACCAATACCGTTGTTGTTAGAGCACTTCTGCATTTTGAACTGCTGAGCAGTACATTCAGCCTTGATAGCAATTAAATTTCCTCGCACACCATGCGCTCTAAGCCAACCAACCTATTATCCTCTTCTGATTCTCACAACAATACTTCGGTATGCCATTATAAAACTTTCACTTCGCATTGTCCCAGGCAAGGAGGTGGTAATCTTCAAGGTTAGGCAGATATATGGTGGTTAGAATTTTAGGTTGAAAGCCGACTGTTTTGAATATTTGCCATACGGTTCTACGCCAGCACTGTCCCAAGACTGGAGCATGCAACAGCAATGCATAGGCTTCGTGTTGCCAACCACATCTACCACACCTACATAGCCGAACTCCGTAATCTCTTGATCACAATTTAACCCCAAAATGGTCACCTTAAGCCAATCCCCTGTTGATTGCACTGCTTTGCATGTATTTCCTCTTCGCCCAGGCAACAATCTTGTACAGCAGCTGTTTGATGTCAAGCTCACGAAAACTGGTAAGACCGCCGGAGCAATATCTCGACTGAAACTACCCGATACAATACCACTAAGATTTCTTGGATGTGATCTGCAAATTGACTACACCGTTGTTGTGCTCAGCGGCTGACCAGACAGCTGCAAGTTCACACTAAAGAAACAGATTTTCCGTAACTTACCATAGCGTGTATACTTGACTCTACCTGCCTCTTATCTACATCTCTGCAGGAAACTTGCCGCCTCAAGCATCGGCTTCGAGATTAGCCGCACCTCGAACTGCTGGTGCTAATCGAACAGGCAAGCAGCCCATTGGTAACAAGCGTGTGTCCCAATCCAAGTTGATGGTGAAACCAGCTGCCGGCACTGGCATGACCACGAGTAGACGAATGCAGACTTCAGCCTGGCATTTCACTGTAAGTGGAGTTGTGGACACCTTATCACTCTCTTTATATAGCCATGTAATGTATGTAAGAGGCTGTAGTCACCTAAGATGAAACTGTGGCATGAAATCGAGACAACTTTTGCCTATGCAAGTTGTTTTTTCTGACTCCATATGAACCACTGTACCCAGATAAGACCGCATGTTGGTACAGCATGCAGTAGTATATGAAGGCCATAGACGGAATACCAGTGATATGCGCCAATTGTGCATATTTCTGACCAATTAGGTTTGGATGCAAACGTATTTGGATCTTGCCAAGTAAATTAAATTTTATCAGGGGCCGTATGCATGTTCAGTGCCCCACACTGCCTGGAATTATTAGTTTTATGGTGAAAATACTTCTGAACCATGTTCACTGTGTGCTGTTACAATGTATGTATGCTTTTGATACAGAACTCTCTCAGTGAACTGCTCACAAGAATGCAAAATGCACAGCCACACTTCATCCGGTTAGTAGCTGACAAGAATCGTCTATGCTTGTCTAACATCGCCCCATTGCACATTTCATGGTACCGCTCATAGACACTGTATGTATATGACTGTAGAATTTCGACACAGGTTCGGTTTAACACAGGTCCAGCATGATACTCCGAGTGAGATATATTTACTTTTGTTCCACTGGATTTTCGTTAGTACTGAAACTCTGCATGTTCATGTATAGAGCACTCTGACCAGTAGTCAAGGTTCTCTTGCAGGTTCAGTTACAAGTTGAAACATGGCAAGCTCCTGAAATGCGGACCGGTCACATAAGATAGGTGGTGGTCTCTAATGGCAGGTGGTGGCTACACACAGGTTTATTGCCTGCAGAATTACAGCCGGTTGGGTGTGTTGTTGCTGTGTATGCAGCTGCATCAAGCCAAACAACATCCAGCAAAAGTCAAAGTTCATCATGGACAAAGTGCAGCATCAACTCAAGTACACCGGGGTGCTGGAAAGCATCAGGATACGGCAGAAAGTGAGTTACTCTGTAATCATGATGTTTGGTTTAGGCTCGTTAGACTCGGCGGATATTTCTCTTCGGTTGGACGTAAGCATTGTTTCCCAAAGAACTTGTCTTACCTTCAGCTGGCATCTTTGTGTACACAATATCTCACTACTTCTTTCTTGCTATCTGTAATCTTCTGACATGTAGTGGACTGACCATCAATCTGTTGTTGTTCTAATCCAACGAATGCGCAGGGCTATTCCCATCGCATCCTCTACTCGGACTTCTGCGAGCGCTACAGGATCATTGCTTACCCGCTGACGCAGCGTGTTCGACCAGGCTCACAGCCGTGTGACGCCATCGCCAAGAAGTGCGGCCTTGCCGACTATCAGCTAGGCAAAACAAAGGTGCGGAGGCGATCCTAATTGCTAGAAAACCTTTCGAGCTGACAAGAGTTTGAACGTAGATGCACGCAGCAGAGTGGAGGATGGCGATTTTCTTACAAGTTACAACCTTTAAAGTTTTCCACTTGACATGATCACTAACTGAATAGTTACTGTACTGGATAAAATCTAAAACATCATCACATACACAGAATGCAATAAACAGAAGTCAACTCAGAGCTTTGACCGAGAATTTTAGGGAGTATCAACTAAATAGAGTGGTTGCCAGTTGAAAAGCTGTCCTTTGTTTATGTCTCCTAGTATGTTCATAATGTAGGCTGCAGTACAGGTCATGCCAATCTGCTGTACAGGTCATGCCAATCTGCAGTACAGGTCATGCCAATCTGCTGTACAGGTCATGTGCCAATCTGCTGTACAGGTCATATGGCAATCTGCACGTACATGTCTGTGCTTTCTGCTGTTCGACGTGTAGATATTCCTACGCTACTTTCACATGGACATCCTGCTGAAGGAGTACAGCAGGTTTGACCAATCCGCACGGCTGCTGCAAAAGCGTGAGTAACAGCAATGCCAGTCAACACACTGTAAGACCTGCAGTGATAACTGTACCATGTGACCATTGCTTAAGGGACTGCCAAACAATGGTTGCTGTGAACGAATGGTCATCCTATCCTAATCAGGGGGAGGTGGGGGAGTATGAGTGGAAGTAAAGCCTTGGTTATGGTTTTAGTCTTCGTAACCGAGGTAATTGGCGCATTGAAGTGGTCCCCGTCACAGGTGATGGCCTTACAAGAGCGGTCTCGTTTACAGGTTTTGGCCTTGTCAGAGTGGTCTCATTTACAGGTTTTGGCCTTGTCAGAGTGGTCTCATTTACCGTTTTGGCCTTGTCAGAGTGGTCTCCTTCACAAGTGGCTGCCTTCTAAGAATGGTCCCCTTTACAGGTGTTACTTTGTAATGGCCAGGATACACACTGGGTGGTGCTGAATAGTCCTCGGCATTCGATACCTGCAAAACCATCCTCACCCCAACCCATGTTCCCAGTCTACCAGGAGAGTGCAGAAAGGGTGGATATCTCAATGATGTCTTCAATAAACCTCTGCTTGCCTCTGCTAGTATGCACCCATGCCTGTCTATAACATGGTGTTGTGTTGTTGGTCTATATAGGTGTGCGGGGATGGCTAGCCAAACGTGCCTATCGCAAGATACTGCAACAGCGACAGAGTGCAGCCATCACACTGCAGTCAGGTGAGAATGCAAGACTGAGTAGATGGCATTGCACATACTAGTGAGCAAATCTCATTTTCTTTGCATCTTTCCGGCTTTCCAGCTTCTCTTTTTTCCGGCTGTACATTGGCAAGGCTACCATACTGCCTGAGTGAATGCTGCTTCACAGGGGACCCAATGTCCAGTACCACACAGAACAAGTACAGTAAAACCTGTAACTAACGGGCATCCCCTGAGGCCGGAGAAAGTGGTCTTTTGTGGCAGGTGGTCTTTAGTTAGAGGTTTGCACCGCACAGCCATAATATGAATGTGAGACCGTCCGTGCCTGGCAAAGTGGTCTGCAGTACCAGGCTGGTCGCTAGTCACGGTGGTCGTTGGCTACAGGTTTTCCTGTACATTACAATATGGGTGTGATGAGTATCAAATTTCATGTTTTGCTGTGTTCTGGTGCTATGGCCTCTATCCTTTGGCAGCTATCCGTGGCTGGATACTGCGCCGTCGGTATCGCCGTCGCAAACAGCGCCTGATCAAAGCTGTGATCGGAGTTCAAGCCTGTAAGCCAATGGTTCCCCACAGCAAGAGTACATAGGCAATAGTATACAGTTTCTCTCTCTCTCTCCCTCTTGGGCTGTGATGAGCTCACGCACAACTGCATTATTAGTGCATCATATTTGGCTAAAGTCTGATTACTAGTGTTTGGCAGTATATGCTTGTCAGGTAGTTGCCATGTCATATCATCAGGATCAGGACGAGTGGATCCACACCCTCCGTTGTTCTGCGGTAGCTTCGATGTGCAAGTTCGACCTCTGACTGCACATTGCAGCATCAGTGAGCGAAAAGGCCCCGAAGAACTGATAATTATAGTGAAAAAATTCCACCATGGGCTGAGAGATCGTGTGATTAGTTGAGAGATGCTATTATACCCGGGGATGTGCTTGCGACATTGACTATATTTATGACTTGAACACCTCCAAGTTGCTTAGGACTACTTGTAGTCTCTCCAGGCAGCTTGTTTCTTAGTAGTGCTTGTATTAGGAGCAGTTGTCTGTAGATCATTCAAGGGCATAGCAGCAGTAGACACATGTAACAACTACACCGGAACAAGAGTACTGTGAGACTCACGGGCAGTAGTGGTTGCACTGCAGCAGAGCATGCTTGAGACCGTGTCTCCACCTGCTTCTGTGCCATGCAGGTGTGCGTGGCTGTCTGGTACGGCAGAATGTCAAGCGAATGCGACAGGAGCGTGCAGCAAGCAGAGTCATTCAGAATGGTAAGCATGCGCCACACTCGTATGTTTTCTAGGAATGTGATCATCGGAACAAACAGTCTTTGTGGGGATTAAGACAGTAGAGAGGTTAAGATGCACGAAGATTCAGCTCGTGTGATTTGGATCGCGTGTCGAAAAACAACGCGAGATTAGCAGCTCACGTCAAAATTTGGGAGTTTTACGCCGAATTTGACATGAAATTGCGCGTGAAGTCGGAAGTAACGTGCATCTTAACCTCTTTATTAGGGAGGTTTCGCTCTACGTAATTACGTATGAAAATCCGTATGTCGTACGCGCCGGGGAGCGAGGGCAACTTTCATACGTAAATCTCTCTACGGATTTCCGTAGGAAAGCTCTTTCCTACGTTGGGTCCTCCGTAGGACTTTTTGAAATATTTTTTCGCATTTTCCGCATTTGTCCATGGCAACATTCAAGCCGCGCGAAACACAAGGTACACACACCGTACACCACGTGCAAAATATAAGGGAAAACGCGGTTTCGGTTCATGGTGCATACGGTGGGCGCATGCAGCCAACGCATCTCCAAAGCAACAACGCATGTTGAGCAGTCGTGGAGAAATCACGTAGAGCGAAACCCAACAGCTCTGATTTTTACGTATGAAAATTCCGTGCAGTTCATACGTTATTTTCATACGTAATTCCGTAGAGCGAAACCTCCCTATTATCTCTCCAACACCTTCACCACTATGGTCTGTCACTATTGAGGAATTGAAGAAAAAGAGTAAGATGTCAGTTCTGGTTAGAGTGTACATGTATTATGTGCATAGGTGAATCTAGTGGAAAGGTTGTGTAAAGCAAGTACGAGTCCTGCCTAAAGAAGTATGCTGTCACTATCTTGTACGCAAGTTAGCTTTGATTCATTGCCTGATTCCTTGTGTCCGTGTTGTATTGCGTAGTTGTGAGAGGCTGGTTGACACGCATACGGTATAGGCGACTTCTAGCCAAGCGGCAACAGTCAGCCATTATCATACAGACTGGTGAGTAACGTTGGCATGGCGGGTTTGCATTCAATTTGGGACACATCTACGTCTCTCTCTCTCTCTCTCTCTCTCTCTCTCTCTCTCTCTCTCTTCATTCCTCGCTATCAACTGCTCCCTTGCTGATCTGTCCTTTCTTTCCATACTTCACCTCAACGATGATTTAACCCACAGGCGTGTAATTGGGATCACATGCATTCACACAATACGTCTTGACACCCATGCTCCATAGCAATAGAGTAATGTGGTGTAAATTATCACATGGTGAGACACGCAGCCTGAACAACACTCTCTCCACTACCTTCCCCTGATGTTCTCGCAGGAATGAGACGAATGGTTGCGCAGAAGGAACTGAGAAGACGCAGAGAAGCGAAGAGACGCCAGGAGCTTTGGCAGCGAAACAAGGCGGCCATTGCAATACAAACCAGTACGTACCCTGGTCTGGCACATGGCACATCTTAGTGAACCCAGTGGTGATGAATGTTGCATCTACTCATTGTTTGAACAATAGTCATGGGCTGGTGTTGACATTCTCTTCGGTGCTTCATGCAGTACTTGATCACTCTTGTGTGATCTTTTGACAGTCAATCCCGCACATGGGAATGACTATTTAAAATTAGGAATAATTGCAACAGTCAAACATTCATAAGTTTGAGGGATTCAAAACTGATATAATACTGATATTGCAATAGTGTGATGTGATGCCATAAACCAGGTCGATCTTTTGAAAAGGAACCTATTCCGGATGATATGCGTGGCAAACATTATAATTATATTGTTACTCCTGTGATAGATGTTCGTCGTTTTCTTGCGCGCCGCCTGCTGAAGAGACTGAAGGATGCTCGCCAGCGAGAGCTCCAGCTGCTGCAGAAGCTCCACTCAATGCGGTCTAGAGCTGCAGTCACCATTGGCAAAGGTACTGTAATGCTGGCAGTGTTCAGAGGGTTGAGTCACATTGCCAGTGACAACATAATACATGTACAACTGCCATGATTTTGATAGTGGTTTTTGAGGCTTTCGATCGAGCTTGCAGGATGGGATGTGGGTTTGAAATCTCTATTCTCATAATTGCCAGTGGCCAATAAGAGATAGGTTGTTGTTGTCGTTTGAAATCTTTTATTCTCGCGATGGCCTGTGGCCATTAAGAGAGCGTTGTCATTGTTGTTGTTGTCGTCGTTGTTGCTATTGATGTCGTTGTTGTCGTCACTGCTGCACAATACCAATGTGATCTCTTAACTCCTGCGTGCAGTGATCAAGGGATGGCTGGCCAGGGTCAAGTACCGGAGATTGCTGGAAAAGCGATCTCAATCAGCAATCGTTCTGCAACGGGGTGAGTCCAACTGGAACCCAGTGGCAGTGGACCCTGGAGATTTGAAAGTTGTGGCTTGCACATGTAGTGTGCGTGTGTGTTTGTGCATTCGTACGTTGACATGTGCAAGTTTCCCAATGGCCCACATGGCACATTGACAGCAAATACTCAAGTGTATCAGACACATCACTTATGCTCACAAGTGAAAGGTGATGTCACCAGAATCATGTGGGCCGAGTAATATTTGCAAGAAATTGTCATTTCGTGCGCCGAAGTCTTCCCTTTGTGAGTATTTTTCAAGAATTTGTCTTACTCTCATGGCATTTCTCATGTCATTCTGTTGTTTTCTGATTGCTCCCACTGTCCATGCAGTGTACAGGCAACGCATGCACAGGGCACACTGCAGGGACATAGTCAGGGCTAAGACACTTGCCAGGATAGCAGAGGCCGAAACGCTGGAGCGCAAGCGCCAGTCTGTGTTATCGCAGCTCCTGGGCAGTGTACCAACGCGAGACAGCACGCGCGACAGCCGCAGAGCCAGTACCGGCCGTGGCCTACAAACTAAACCTGAAGCATCTCAGGTTGCAGTTGCCACCGCGGGAGAAGAAATCCCGGAGAGGGCAGGAGTGAATGATACCGATGCTGGAGTCACCGTCCCGGAGAGGGCAGGGGTGGATGACACCGACAGTGCAGTTGCCGGGAGCTCGCGTGGCAGTTCAACAAAGCTCACCAATGCATCCAGTGCTAGTATACAAACCTCAGCAATAAACAGGTAAGACTTTGATGAGGACTAGTGCAATACACGTACTGACGTAGATTGACTACTACACTCCCGAGCCTCATCGGCTTGGCTGAGTACTCTTTCTGGTTAGAGTACTTATCAGCCTTCGTGCAGAGCTCACTTTGTTTCCCCCATTTAGAGCACTCTGATATCGACGCTCTGAGCCAAATTAATTAGCGTTGTTGTCAACTAGATCTCATTGTGATCATTTAGTACAGTGACTCTAAGCTTTGCTGATGAGAACTAACAAGGTCAAAACAGTTAAGCTATCCGGATATAGAGAGGAATACGGGCATCGTACAGCTACAGCTGAGCCACAAAGTGCACGGGAAGAATTGGATTCCAGTCCAAGTATGGAAAAGGGTGTGGAGGAAGAAAAGAAAACCACATGATTCTATGTGGTTTGGCTAAGCGTGCGCGCACGTGCGTGCGTGTGTGTGTGCATGTTCTCTCCAGAGTGTCAGACGATGATTCCAATCAAGACCAGAACACCAATGCCAACACAACAGTGGCACCTGCACCGCCACAGAGTTCAGTGGAAGACTCTCGAAAACCCGCCATCCCGACTGCTAAAACCATCGAGCCAAGCCCGTCGCCCCATACGCAGCCTGAACGCAGCATGGTCACAGAAAAGCTGCACTTCAAACGCAAGGAAAGTATCACGGGCGGCAAGCTTCCCAGAGTAGAGACATTGCCCAAACCAGCACCGGCAGCACCACCATGCCAAGTGAAAGATGACAAGCAGTACAGTAAGAATGCTTCTGGCAGGGACGGGTTGGTGTTGCCAGCCTCACGCAAACTGGCAAGCGGTCCAGAGAAGCATGACACTGATGGCGCAGCATCAAGCACAGCCGACAGGTGAATACTGCTACGAGTGACTGTGGTGGTATTGGCTGGTTTTCGCTTTGATAAACCTTACTCCGTGTGGTGTGGTGTGGTGGTTGATAAACCCTACTCCATCACAAAACAAAAAGAGGTCTCCGCACTGCAAACATGTACAATGTCTCCACTGTACACTGGTTTGCCACCCTAAAACATTGCACTCCAGGCGCGTGCGCCGGTGCCCTTCAAGGGGGGTTTCCGCCCCCCCCGGAAAAATTTCAAAAAATGAAGCAAAATCCTGCATTTTGAGCGAAAAAAGGGGGGGTTCCGGGCACCCAGGAACCCATACGGGGCACGCACCTGCACTCCCTGATAGAAACCCACTCAGCTTACTCTAATTTCAGAAATTTTACATGCTCAGTATTTTCGGTATGAGGGCAAAAGGGCAGGTTAGGTGAACGGAAATTTTAGGCAGAGAAGCAGTTCCCTATTGGATTATGTGTGTTAGTGTTTGTTCGGTGTATTGAAATTTTTGGTATGAAACAGATGCACCGAAAGTACCGAAAATAAAAGTACACCGAAAAGGTGTGAAATTACAGTATGCGAGTCATCAGCATGACCCGGCATGGCAGATATCAGGACTGCGCGCACTCTGGCCTTCGTTGGACATACTAGTAGTCAGAAGAATGCCTAGGTGTACCATGCATGCACTGACAGAGTGCACACAAGTTTCTATTCACTGTTTTCTTCACATTGCTATTTCCTATTCAGGGACGGTGTTTCCGCTACTCCACTGCCCACCGTGGATAGTAAGACCAAACAACAACTCGATGAGAAGAAGTCAGCTGCACCGGCAATCCAGGACAACTGGACGACGACAACGGTCGTCAAAGATACGACAACAACAGCGGTCGTCAGGGATACGACAACAACAACAACGGCAGTCAAGGGTGACGTCTCTCGCAAAGTGCTCGGCTTTCAACAGGCATCGTCTCAACGCCCCAGCACGAGCAACCAGGGGCCGAGTGAAGGCAAGGCAGCCGCTCAGCAGTCAGCCCGCAACATCCGTGTCAGTCAGCTCGCCGCCAAATTCAATCAAATCTGGAGTGAGCCAGCAGATTCGGCAGCAAAGCCACCAGCAGCAGCAGCATCCCGGCCCACCACACGGCCAGGGAAGCTGACCAGACCTGCCGCCTTTCAAGCTGACCCACTGCAGCAGGCTGGAGATACATCCTTTTTGCCACTAGCAACGCAGATCCGCACGAAAGGCAAGCAGGACCGCAAGAAAGTGGGCTTCTTCGAGTTCACTTTCCAATGATGACGAAGTGGTGGTTGATGATGAAAGTGGCGGTGCTCATGGTTGCCATAACTACATGACTCTGAGGGAATTGCCAAGAATGGAAGTATGAGCAATGCCTGTGAGTGTGCTGCAATCAGCGGTGCAATGTTCAATACCAGGCTACACAATCGTACCTAGGTACAGGCCCCGGGGCTATGCATGATGTGTAGAGTGTTGGTGCTACTACAACAACTAACTACAGCACTGTGCATGTAGGCTAATACTTTGTACGGTGTAGTGTACGCTTTACTTGGTGCAAACTGCGAACGCACGAATTATTACCATTCCCATTTATCACATCAGATATTCGAAATTGTATGCGTACTGCCACCATGATTGCCAAGTACAAGGCTCTGATCTGCAGTCAACTCGTTGCAGAGTTCTCCTGCATTTATTTTTAATTTTTTAATGTAGTGGACATGGAAGATAGCTTCAAACTAACATCAGTTTGTTTTTAAACTTACTTCATTGAAATGTTTGTTGAGTGGCTTGAGAATTCTTTCTTGGCTTGTTTCCATGAATCACAATTCACAACCAATGGGTCTATTTCAGACCTTGTACAGATGCTCTTTTTTCTATTTAAGTAAATTATAGAAACGTGCCGAGCACTTCAAAGGATGTTTTGCAGCGACGTCATGTAACTATTCAAGTTCTCAAACTGCTAAAACAAGATCGTAGCCGAAAGCATTCCATTACGATATGCCCATGTACTCATTATTTATGAAAATGGCATTGTCCCGACTCTGGGGCTGGCGGATGTGGGAATATTATAACCGTGCACATGAGCTGATCAGTACTAGCAAGAGTCCATAACCCCTGGGGTTATGGACTCTTGCAACCATGGTACCAGTCTATACATCTATGTACCCTACCACAACTACCCAGGGGCGTAGCAGCCGGTCCGGCCGGACCGCTTCTTCGGCCGACCACGGCCAAAAGTGCCCAGAATGCAGGGATTTTGAACCTTCAAAAATTTCAACATTTTCCAGGGGGCTACCCCCAGTCTCCCTCCGGCCGGACCACCTCCATGCAGGTATGTGGGTGCCCTGTTTCGACCTTCTTACCAGTACAATCTGGCGTCCCGAATACCGGTACCATGAATACTGGATTTACTGCTGAAGATCACAGAAAAGTTCTACATGACATGTACAAAAAAAACCGTGTGCATGTACCGGTAGTCGGTACTGCAGATGGTCTTGTTCTATTGTCCACGATGCTTACTGTGGAAGGACTTGTCTCTCAGCTGACGGACAAGGTCAGTCTGACTCTCGATAACTTCCCTAAAACAATATTCTCCCAGACTAACTTTTGCTACAGGGATATTTTCTCCGTCCACGGCCATACCAACAAGATGGTTGAAAAATGAAAATTGTGTAGAACTCCATGAAGTGTTCAAGTGACTCGAATCAAAGAGCACAAAAAGTCAAGCACGTGCGATGTCTGATGATCGTGACGTCAGTTGTAGGCCAACACAGACAGACGTCGAGACGAACTAAACGAACAACTGGCATGCATCGAAATATCTGACATTTCATGGGTCATGGAGTATCCGAGTTGGAGATAATTTTTTTGTGATTGACACCAGATCAGAGCTAAAAGAACGACGTGTTGCTGTACCAGAGTTATCCGTGCACTTGCTGGGCGGGATTGCTGTCCTCTTGCCATTTTCTCTCTACCCTCTCCTGGGTGGGTGTTTTCTATTTGGAGGTCCGAAAGGTAAGTATTTTTTTAGCAATAATTTCAAAGAATTGTTTTCACTTTCAACGAGACAAATCTTTTGAATAGGATCTTATCGATGGGGCACAAGTGCTTGAAAAGGCACGGCACAGTACACCGATCACGCTCTTAGCCGACATAGCGTACACGTCCAATGAGCAATCATATGTCCGTTGTTGAGATGATAAAAATCATCGGGACATCAATCTTGCTGAATGGTGAAGTTAGGTCCATCAGTAGATGTAAATGGTGACTTACTCACGGAAATGATGATGCATGCCGTGCAGAGAATAATGCATGCGCTCTCCTAATACTTACATGTACATGCAGTACAGCCAGACTTCGCTTATCCGGTCCTCTTTTATCCGGATCCCTCGCCATGCAGAAGAACATACATGTAGCTGGTTACAGATTTACAGCATACGTGATGCATCCAACATAACCGGCGTTCGGTTATCCGGTTCCCTCGCCTATCCGGATATTTTAGCGGGTAACGGATGTGTGCGGTTAAGCGAGGTCTGACTGTACAGGTATGTGAGTGTTCTCCTACTGTAGCGGACATAGAAACCCAGTCGGTTGACCGGGGCCGGCGCCCTCAGCGTGTAAAGAACGCTGCGTGCAGTGCACAAAGTCATGTTGCTCCGCTGTGACCAGCACGCTGCAGCGCGTAATGCATGTTCCGCTTATCCACGGCTGCGTGGCCAGCGCCCTGTGGCCGCTAGAGGTGCGACCGAATTTCCATGTCCACGACAGTAGTACACATAGGTACATACATGTACCTGTTGATCGGTTCTTGGTCTTGCCGCCACTGATGATGATTATAGTCAGGAGCACTATTTCAACACAGTGTGTCTCTCCCCCTCCCCCCCCCCCCCCCCCCCCCCCCCGTGAGGACCTCGGGTAGACGGGTACAGTATAGTACCCGAAAACCCGAAGTCGCAGATGACATGATGTACAGTGCACGTGTACGAATTTATGTAATACTCTGCATGTGTGCCCAGTGTGTAAGGGAAGGGGTGCATTGTGGTGCTACCATGGAAACATTACCCCATCGGGTACCTGCGCTACCCGTGGAAAACTCGAACCCGATACCCGAAGAAAATGCTACCCGACTCAGCCCTATGAATAATCTACCAAACAAGGTGTACATGCATCCTGTGTGTGTAGATTTCAGATGTTCTGCAGCGTAAATGTAAATGCCGTGTATGAGAATATTGGGCCTGGAAAAGTCGATATCGAGACAGCTCCGCCTCACACTTCAGGCAATTGTGTTGGCGCCTTGATTGACACGGTGGTGTTAGGGCATGTAGGGCGAGTGAGTGTCGCAGGGACCGCTCGGCCTTGGCGCTGTTTGGCAGGCGTGCGTGTTAGTAGGTTTCTTTGTCGTGCATCGGTAAGAGTGTGATAGGTGCTGTCAAGAGTACATAACCAAGAGTGTGCAACTCGACGACCCCCCCCAGCCCACGGCGGAATTTTTTTTATGACATCAGTCTTTGGTGGCTGTTTGGCTCGCTGATGCCATCATGCGTAGCCAGAGATCAAAGTACAGTCCGTATCGCCTATAAGGTTGGCGGCTATAGTAATATACCGGATATAGTGATCAATTCCTCAAATTCATTTTCATTCGCCATAACTAAGTATACACAGTTATCGCGTATAGTAATAATCGTCTATAGTAATATATCGCCTATAGTGATCAAATTCATATTTCAAAAGACGTTTATTACACTATTTTTGCATCGGTTATAGTGATTGATGTAAAATCAAGCGATGTCAGAGGAGAACAGGGTGTTACTTCTTCGTGAAGAACTTGTCCAGTGAGTGTTGTTTGGTGAGTTTTGCTTGTACAAGTTGCCAAAATATGCCTCCATCATGAGGAAATCCTGATTTTTTTGTGTCAGGCGCTACAGCCAGCTACAAGACATTGTACATGTATGTAGTGCGTGTGTGCACGGTGCGCTGAGTCGTTTGACACCCCACTCGCATACATTGCATGCAGTATCGGTCATAGTAATATCGCTTATAGTGATAAAATGCTCAAAATCAAACACCAACGCTATAGGCGATACTGACTGTACAAAGAATTTGTATATCACAGCTACGGTAGTCGAAGCAGAACAACAGACGATAGATCGATGTGTCCTGAACCTGGTGAACTCTACCATATCTACAAAAAATGGGCGGGAAAGCATACGCACTTGATCATACTTCAGCCAAAGAATGACGCAATAAAAAAATTCCGCCGTGGGTGAACCCATCGCAGCTCGAGATAGGAGTTGCACACGCTTGGTTATGTACTCTTGGTGCTGTATTATAACGACTCTTACCGGATAGCATATGTGCGTATGTTTGCTGCATCCACATTACCCTTGTGCCAGGCACCAAGTTCCCAATTCACTGTGGGTGATGTGGGTAACCTAAAGGCGATATCAAACGCTCTTCAATGTTCTCTCTAACGATCACAGCACAAGTATTTATTTTATTTTATTTGCCCACCTGTTGTGTGTGTCCTGTATAGTCTGGGGGGGGGGAGTCACGTAGCTACTTCAACGTAATTGATTGAGCCCTGTTGAGATAGAAGTAGACTATTGAACCGTATGGCGTATATGCAGTGTATGTTCTTACTTGTGCAACTGTTGTTGTGTTCTGCGTTTGCGTAGACTGCCCGTGACGTGCCATGGGCAAGCCCGAGCAACCGTCCACTGTGGAGACACGTAAAAGGAAGTCCGATGATGTGAGTGGTGAGGACGTCTCGCCACAGAAAAAGAAGAAAAAGGACAAGAAGAAGCAGCGTGCAAGGGAGATGGACACTGAAATGTCTCCATCATCCAGTACCGTAAATAGTCCAGGTATGTGGGGACTCGAGATTTCTTGTCTTCCTTTTTGGAAAGTTGTGAACAAGCACTGCTCGTGTTGCCTGTCATTCTGCATGGCTGGCATTCATTACCAATACAATATTGCTCTGCGCCAAGTGGAAATGTTCGCAGATTGAGGTGTTTGCATCCCAAAATGTGATGTGATACGGGATAATCAATCATGCAATTCTCCTGGTCGTGGTGCTGATCTCTTGATCCTCCTGCGTACCGTATTTTTCCGGTTGTAAGTCGACCTTTTACGACTTAAAATAGAAGGAGAAAGGGTGGGGGTCGACTTACAACCGGGATTCGACTTATAACCGGGAACTATCAGTATCTTACAAAAAATGACCTGCACTGCATGCACGAGTGCACCATGTTTACACATTTTTGCCAGTTTATTGGCCTTTTTCAAGGATTGGGACGTTATATCCTCCAATAAGGAATGTTTACATGATTTGTTGATGTGTTAGTAGCAGGAGGTGGTTAGTAATGCTTCTTTGGGTGAAAACTTTAAAACGCAGAATTGAGACCTCCAGATAGGGGGGTCGACTTATAACCGGGGTCGACTTACAACCGGTAAAATACGGTATATCTACATGTAGGTGTGCGGGGAAAAAAATGGAAAGACCAAAAATAGGGATTCACTGGCCAGAAAAGTCACTTCAAATAGCTCTATGGTGTAGACCAGGCTGAATACTGACGGTCAATTCTTCAGCCTTGCAAGCTATTGAATGGTGCAATCCCAGCACAAGTTGCTATGGCTTCTGTCGTAGCATTGCTATCATCGCCTCCGGCGATGGGCGTCAAAAGGTCAAAAGGTCAAGGTGAGCAGTGTCAGTGTCTTGGTCAATTCATGGCCGGTCACAGTCACAACCTCTGTTCTGCATTACGTGCCTTTACTCTTCAATCCCCCTCCCCTCCTCTCCGGCCAGCCTTGCGTTGCTTGTGTTGGGGCTTTTCCAAGCAACTGTGGACAATGTATCCACATTCTTTTCCTTGCCTCGTTGTGTCATGTGTTTGTTTGTGCATGGATCGTCAGTGGTAGGAAAGATCAAGAAGGAGAAAGTCGGCAGTACCGGTGTCGATGTTGGTGAGCCGCATGGGAAGATCAAGAAAGAGGCGAAGAAGCACAGACCAGCAGTGACCGAGGCGGCATCTCCATCAGCTGCAACACCTGCTGAAACATCAGGTAAGGTGGCGGGCAAAGTCCTGGCGCCCGATTATCAATCAGTTCATAGTATTGTAAAGAAAAAGGACCAAGGAACTACAAGTTATGCTATACTGTCCACAAACACAAGCCACTAACACTTGGTTCTTTTTCTTTCCTTTAAATTCTTTCTTGGCTCTCCATCCCAGTCATCATAGTACTCTAATTTCAGAAATTTTCGGTGCTCAATATTTTCGGTATGAGGGCAAAAGGCCAGGTTAGGTGAACAGAAATTTTCGGTACAGGGAAGCTGTTCCCTATTGGATTATGTGTGTTAGTGTTTGTTCGGTGTATTGAAATTTTAGGTATGAAGCAGATGCACCGAAAGTACCGAAAATAAAAGTACACCGAAAATTTGTGAAATTACAGGATTTTATTTGTATTTATTGTATCTTTGTGGTGGGTCTGATCTACTCACCTCCCACCACCGCTTTAGGATCTGCATCTGCACCTTGATCCAAGAGGGTGGTGGCGTTCCTGCGGATGCGGAAAACCTGGCTTCCTGCCGAGTCTCACGTGAACCATGACATTTTTTTAAATTTGTTTTATTGTATTTAACCAGAGGCTCAAGGCTCGGAGAAATCACATGTGTTCAGAAAGAGTACAAGAGTATGGTAGAGCTGTGAAATGCAGAAATCTGTAGCTGAGTCACCATGTACGCGTACTTAGTGAAATTCTAGCCCTGTAGTTTGTTCTTCGGAATCCGCCAGTATGTCACTGTGTGTCTCCCTGGCAAATATTTCTAGGAAACATCTTCAATAATGCAACATATTCTTGCTCGTACATGTATATCGGAATCAAGACTGTGGATTTCAGTATCAGAAGCAAGATGTCAGGATGGCCGAGTGGTCTAAGGCGCTGCGTTCAGGTCGCAGTCTACTTCTGTAGGCGTGGGTTCGAATCCCACTTCTGACATAATTATTTTTTTGATTTTTCCAAAAGCTCAGAGCGCAGGACAGGGAATGTATTTTCGTTAGAGATGTGTAGGATATTAGAATGCTGAGTGAAAGCTCGACTGTTCGTGTCACTCTTTGCACTTTCAGCACCATTCAGCTGACTGTCTGGTCACACCATTCTCAGCGCCAGCGGAATGACTGAAACATGTCCACGTGCTTTCCAACTCTTCAAATTCTCTGATTAATTTTACTCTGAAATAGATCACCTGTTGTGAGAATTCTCTCAATGCAAGCTCCTTCACGAGTTATTTTCGAAAATGGTGTGTGCGTGTGCGTGCGCATATGTGTGTGTGTGTGTGTGTGTGTGTGTGTGTGTGTGTGTGCACCCAGAGTTTTGGGGATTTCAGAGGGTGTCGGCCGTTGGGTGGTTCAATAACCAATTGAGTCATCTTTCTAAGATTCCTTTTGAGTCTCTCTCCCCTCTCCCGGGGGGACTCACGTGACCAGTTTTGGCAGTGAGCATTAAGTACAGTACAAGTAGTACAGTGTGTGTGTGTGTGTGTGTGTGTGTATGTGTGTGTGTGTGTGCGCGCGCGCGCGCGTGTGTGTATATGTATGTGTTGTATGTTGATGTGCTGCAGTAACAGAGGAAGGTCGCCACTACACTGTGTCGCTGGCCTTGCCTGGCTCGATCATTGCCAACGCACAAAGCCTGGAGCTGAAGTCCTATCTTGCAGCACGTGTAAGGAAGAGTACACACACGCATGCACACGCGTACACACATTCGCACACACACACACACACACACACACACACACACACACACACACACACACACACACACACACACACACACACACACACCATGACTGTGTCAACTGCTTTTGACAACACCCCAATCCCGGATCCGCTTTGTTGTTCAGTATGATTTGTCTAGGTGGCTGGGGTGGAGAGTGGGTGGAGAGTGGGTGGAGAGTAGCTGAAGCGGTGCACACATGTACTTGACTGGTTCATGTCCTTAATTCTCAAATTTCTTTGTTTTGTTCTGCTGTGCTTGCATGGCTAGATTGCCCGTGCCTGTGTAGTGTTCAGGGTTGATGAGATTGTCATCTTTGACGAAACCACCTCGCAGAAGTAAGTCTAGTGTTGCCTTGTATCGATTGAACGTTGCCTTTATTAGGACTTTCTCTCTCTCTCTCTCTCTCTCTCTCTCTCTCTCTCTCTCTCTCTC